CAGATCTTAAGGGAATACATTTACAAGATACAGAGGAAGAAGATCAGTATGGGTATAAGGACGCAACCCCCGAGGGAGTATGTTTACAAGACACAGAAGATGAAGACCAGAATGGGTATACGGGTATGGTGAAAGAGTTGTCACCAACAGAAATCCAAATGGGTATGGTGAAAGAGTTGTCACCTGCAGAAATCCAAGCAGGTACAATGAAAGAGCTGTCCCTAACAGAAATCCAAACAGGTGTGATCGAAGAGTTTTCACCTACAGACGTCCAAGAACAAGTTCAAACAGATCTTAAGGGAATACATTTACAAGATACAAAGGAAGAAAATCAGTATGGCTATAAGGGCGCAACCCCCGAGGGAGTATGTTTACAAGACACAGAAGATGAAGACCAGAATGGGCATAAGGGAATGTTGGGAGAGTTGTCACCAACAGAAATCCAAATGAGTATGGTGAAAGAGTTGTCATCTGCAGAAATCCAAGCAGGTACAATGAAAGAGCTGTCCCTAACAGAAATCCAAACAGGTACAATAAAAGAGTTGTCACCAACAGAAATCCAAACAGGTACAAAGAAAGAAATGTCACCTGAAGAAATCCAAATAGGTAAAATGAAAGAGTTGTCACCTACAGGAATCCAAGAACAGGTCCAAACAGAGATTAAGAGAATGTATTTACAAGAGACAGCAGAAGACGACCAACATGGGTATGAGGGTACATTGAAAGAGTTGTCACCTGCAGAAATCCAAACAGGTGTGATTGAAGAGTTTTCACCTACAAAAGTCCAAGAACAAGTTCAAACAGATCTTAAGAGAATACATTTACAAGATACAAAGGAAGAAGATCAGTATGGGTATAAGGGCACAACCCTCGAGGGAGTATGTTTACAAGACACAGAAGATGAAGACCAGAATGGGTATAAGGGTATGGTGAAAGAGTTGTCACCAACAGAAATCCAAATCGGTATGGCGAAAGAGTTGTCACCAGTAGAAATCCAAACAGGTGTGATGAAAGAGCTGTCCCTAACAGAAATCCAAACAGGTACAATAAAAGAGTTGTCACCTACAGAAATCCAAACAGGTACAAAGAAAGAAATGTCACCTGAAGAAATCCAAATAGGTAAAATGAAAGAGTTGTCACCTACAGGAATCCAAGAACAGGTCCAAACAGAGATTAAGAGAATGTATTTACAAGAGACAGCAGAAGACGACCAACATGGGTATGAGGGTACATTGAAAGAGTTGTCACCTACAGAAATCCAAACAGGTGTGATTGAAGAGTTTTCACCTACAGAAGTCCAAGAACAAGTTCAAACAGATCTTAAGGGAATACATTTACAAGATACAAAGGAAGAAGATCAGTATGGGTATAAGGGCACAACCCTCGAGGGAGTATGTTTACAAGACACAGAAGATGAAGACCAGAATGGGTATAAGGGTATGGTGAAAGAGTTGTCACCAACAGAAATCCAAATCGGTATGGCGAAAGAGTTGTCACCTGTAGAAATCCAAACAGGTGTGATGAAAGATTTGTCACATACAGAAGTCCAAGAACAAGCACAGACAGAACGTGGAATGGTTTTTGAGTTCACCAAAAGAGGCAGTTTTGTTGAAGATATGGCCTACAGTCATGAGGTTTCTGAGGTTGAAAAAAATGTACAGATTAAAGGAACTAATGAGGCTTCGAAAGTTATGGATGAAACGGCTGAATCTGGAGAATTTGAGAAAATACAGTCTTACTGCGAAATCCCACCAACTAGACCTGACAACCTAGCCGCTGTCCAGCCTATAATGATGAGTGATCCTAGAAGTGTCTATCAGAGTGACTCACTGGAGACCACTCCTGTTAGAGAGGGTTTCTCTTCTCACAAGTCTCCTGACTCCATTGAGCCTAGCCCAACCAAAGAGTTCCCATGCCCAGACTCTTTAGAAACCAGCCCCACAGAGCAGAGACCAGGGCTTCAAAGTGCTGAACAGCTGTATGAAAGCAGCAAGGATTCTCCAAAGATTTCTGACCTCGTGGAAAATATAGAGATTGAAAAAAGTGATAAAATGATCATGCAAAGGGAGGTTGAAGCCTCCCACCATTTTGAGTCTCTAGACTCTCAGTGCCTTTCAATGCCCTTAGAGCCATGTTCAGCTCCATTAGATGGCAGTGACCAAGAGGAAGCTCTGAAAAGCAGCGGTCTAGTGGAAGAGCAGTTCACTGCTGAAGAAGAGATGGCTGCAAAAGTCAAAATACTTGATGAAATTGCAAAAGATGGCACAATAAGAAAGGAGACGATTGATTCGACCAGTTCAGCAAAGGTAGAAGAATTCATGACTGATAGTACAATCGGTGATGAATCAGACAACGTAAGCTTCCCAAAGACATTTGATGCATCCTTCTGCTCTGAGACTGCAGATGCACATGGCTTTTCTGTGCCCATAACAACATATTCATCTCAGCCAGAAACAGATGATGAACAAGATGATCTAGATTTTGCCAGCACAGTAAAAAAGCAGTTCACTCCTGAAGAAGAGATGTTCAAGATGGCCGCAAAAATCAGAGTGTTTGATGAAATCGAAAAGGAGGCCAAAATGAGAAAAGAGAAGTTTGATTTCACCTCTTCCTTACAGGACAGGGCAGATGAAGCAGATGACACAAAACAGGAGGGTTCACTTGAATCTAGTCAGGTGTTATCTTCATATCTGGAGTCTGAGCAGTATGATGACCCAGAGTTGACTAAACTACCTCAAGAGGTCAATGGACAAGCCATATCTGATAGTCAAGCCTCGGAATACATAGATCATGGTGTTTTAGAAGATGAGACACCACTAAAGGAGTCACCTATGCAAATTCACATTGATAAAAAGAAGGACTGCCATGAAGAATTTTCTTCTGAGTGCCTTACTAAACCAGTAGATCAGACTGTCACTACAGAATCTATGGATGATAAGTTATCTGCAGCTTCAGCAGATTACAAAATTGATAGTGACGCTGATATCTTGGGTCCTGTCATGAATAAGAAAACCTCAAGTGCATCAGATGAAGCTATTCCAGAAAAGCCACAGTCTCTCAGTGACACTGTGTGTCCCATAACTGATGCAGGAGAACTTCAGGAAGAACAAAAGCCAGACTTTGGTGTTTATGAAGAGGAAAATGGAGAAGAATCACACAAATCTGTTCAGGGAGATTTAGTTCCTTGGAGTGCCCAGCTAGAGGATGATGAGAGCTTTGAATCACGGATTGAAGCTGAAGAGAGGAAAGTCTTCGCTCTGGCTGCAGACAGTCGGTCTCCTGGGACAACACCAGAAACAACTCCTGGTCGGACACCTGCAGAAGATGGGACACCAAACCCTTTCCTATTTCAGGAAGGGAAGCTTTTTGAAATGACAAGAGGAGGTGCTATTGATATGAGCAAAAGGAGTATGGAGGAAGAGCAAGATGCATTTGTCTTTTTCCCCCTAAGAGAGGATCCTGCTGAGGAGGTTCCTACTGAACAAGTAGAGGAAAGTGGAACAACGTCTTGCACTCCTGACTCCTCAATTGCAACCCTGTTAGACTCAACCAGAGAAGCTTCACAGGATGACAAATCCTCCGAAGAATCTGCTATAACATCTAGTAGTTCCAGCAAGGTTTCAGATGAAGATATTCTTGAGCTCAAAGATTCAGATCATTATTTTAGTCAGACTGACTGCAGAGATAAGGATTTGGACTCTGTAGATTCATCCATAGCTAATATTGATACTGCCACCTCAACAGTTACCCGATCAGTTTATTCAGAGCAGGATCTGGAGTCTTCTGACTCATCTACAGAGGAGGAACAGCATTCAGTTATTGAAATTCCCACTCCTACACAGGAAACCATCATGCTCCCCAGTGTCACTGAGCCTCCTGGTACTGATGAGAAACTGCAGTCTCCAGCCTCACCCAAAGAGATTGTTGCAGAAACTGAGGGCAGGAAGCCCAAATCAAAGATACCAGTGAAAGCCGCAAGCTTTGACCAAATGTTAGGAAAGGGCGACTCGACTGAGCAGAGCCGAAGGCCAAAATCCGAGGCAGACATGGGCCTCTCAGAGTGGCTCACAGCTTGCATAGACTCTTCCTCAGCTAAACCAAAGCTTCCAGCATCTAAACTACCTGTGCCTGTTGAACAGACTCTGTCTGGTGCACCCCAGCCAAGCAAGACCACTAAGCCCTCTGCCATTGACCTTCAGGAACCTGAAGGTACAGGCAAGCTAGAGTCCACAGATGAGAAGGAACATGTTGAAGGCTCTCTTGACTTGGAAGGAGATAGCAGGCCATTGCCAGCAGTTAGACCCTCCTCTGTGGGTGAGGATGTGTTTGAGACAAGACCCAACTGGGAGGATTGTGTGGAGACCCAGATCCAGCGAATCTCAGACAGCAGTAGTCCAGATCAAAGTAAAGGTACATGACTTGTGGCCCCTTGTTCCCTACCCTTAGAGACTCTTTAGTTCAATGCAAGGTCCAAAAAGTCACTTTTTGTTTCTGAACGTGTTGTCTTGTCCTGTCCTGTGATGTTTTGTATTGTCTTATGTTGTTGTCTATTTTTTTCTTTTTTGTGCAGTGTTATCTGTGTGCTGTATGTCAGTGTTTGTGTCATGGTATCTGTGTGTCTTTCTTTTTATTTTGTCCATGTCCATGTGTTTGTTGAAATCTCAAGATTGACCGTTTTTCTTACTTTCTCTAATAAGGGTACTTAAATAGAGCATCATCTTCTTTTCCAGTTGATTGATTTGTTTCATTTTACTGCATCACTTCAGCATGGATTGATTTCTGTCATTATTTTGAATGAACATTCATCAAAAGTCCGATTTCTTAACACATTATTTCACTCACTTATTCTAATTTATTTTCTACCTGTATTAATTTCACGGGTGTTAAAATACCTTTAGGTTGTTAGTTTGTGTTATGTGATCAGTGCTGCGCCACATGATTTCTAATTTCTGGTCCCACATCTGTTAATGAAGCATACGTTACATCACTCATGTTCACAGTGGACTGGCATGATGATGCTGATCGGAAGGAAGAGACACTGGCCATTATTGCTGACCTTCTTGGTTTCAGCTGGACAGGTGAGTGCGGCCCTGTTTAGTACAGCTGTACTGACTTTAGTACAGTGTTAAACATAAAAAAATATTGTATACAAACACCATATGCAAATGTAAAGCTATACGGCTGATTCGCCCATCACTCTCTACACAGCTTCTCTCGTTTACCGTGTTTAATGAAAAACACTGTTAATGATCAAAACTAGACAGGCTATCAGAGTAAAGTGGGAGGGACATAAATAGACACACCCACACCCAAACTGGATTTTTCCCCGGAAGAGCTTGTAATTCTACAGGTTGTGATTTTGGGGTATTGATTTTGTTAGAGGGCAGCTAATGGGGAACTTTTATTTATCTCTAATATATTCACGTAGAACAGAATTAGAGTTTTGTAGAATCAAGAACATTCTAACCCAGAAAATGTTCAAAATCAAATCTTGATCTCAGGATTGAAAACTTACACTCTTACTGTACAGCATTTGGGAATTGTTAGTTTCTTAAACTGTCTAATTCAACATTCAACTAATAATATTGCTTTATATGAAAATTGTAGGTATTGTTTTGGTTTTATTGGGATAGCCCTCTTTATTGGGATAGCCCTCTATAGATTATCTACAGATGTTTAAATTGTTAATAAAGTCGATTTTCAAGAGGGTTTAGGCCATAAAAAAAGGACATGAAAATGTGAAATATTCAGATGTGTTTTTGCTATGTACACCGGTCACAGTGTTTTTTTGGGAAGTTCACTGTTTTTTGTGCCACGAGAAAAAGGCAGGCAGAATATATATCAAAAATGTATATATTGTCAGAATACATATAAACCATATCAAAACTCTTTCACAAATCAGTTTGAGCTGATTTTAAATATGCAGCTCCACACAAAGATGAAACACATAACAATCAGGCTGAATGTCTTTATCTGCAAATAAAATCTGCAGAACAGCAGAACAGACAGACGATGATGCTACTACTACTACTACTACTGTCCATTTTAGAAAAGTGAAAGTAGCATGAAGAGCTTGATCACTTCATTCAGAAGCTAAACCTCTGAGTTGTCCCACATTTAACTTGATGTTTGTAGCTCAGTTTGAGCTGCTGTTGGAGATTCTGGTCCTTTTAGCATTTGTGAAAAAGTTCTATTTGCTAGAACACAGCTGCTCCGTCATCTTGGTTGTCGCCATGCCAACAGCAGAGACAACCATGATTGGTCAGTGAGTTTATGTTGCTGGATGAAACAGACTGTTTTGTTTGTAAGTCAATAAAACCGTGAACATTGTCCAGCGTTATCCATGCTGTTGTTGACAGAGTTAGCGAAGGAGCTGGAGTTCAGTGAAGATGAAGTTCAGCAGGTTCGTTCTGAAAACCCAAATTCTCTGCAGGAGCAGAGCAATGCTCTTCTACAGCGCTGGGCCGAACGAGAGGGAAAACACGCCACTGGTCAGTCCTTCATTGTCTGATATGCTGCTTTCTAGTGTAAATCAATCAGGAATTTTACCCCAAGGAGGGACCTGTTTACCCAACCATGTTTACTTGTTCAAAAGAAACTTTACCATTAACAGTAATGATATTTATACAGTGCTAATTGATTAGCTGCTGCTGATGGATTGTTTGCTGCTTCCCTTGCATCCTGGAATTGAATTTCATTTGTATTAATGTATTTTATCATGTTCGAAAATGTGTGCATGCTAATTTTTGGGGAGTTGTTCTGCAGCGTTTATTCGTTGGGTTTTTCTACAAGGACTCTTATTGTGAGGGTGGTGCTAGCTGTGGCTGTGTAGACTAACAGTGCTAAGTCAGTCTAACACTGATGGCAGAAGAAGCAAAATGTAGTGAGTTAGACAAAATTCTCTTTATGTACAGCGTGGCTGTGGCCAACTACAGCTCTTTAATAAAGCACAACAAACTTGTGCATCAGCTGTGCCTTCTTTATTAGCAGAAATGCTAAAAATGTTGAAATTATGAATCTCCTTTCCCTTCTGCTGTAAAGTTGCTGTTTTGGAGATTCTGTTCATTCAGAACTTAGAGTTACTAGAAATAACGTAGTGCAGTAAATCTAAGAATCGGTGCTAGATTATGACCTTTAGCACAATCTGTGGACACTTATTTCTGACCTTTATTGCTGTGGTTTCCACAGAGGACTGCCTGATAAAGAGGCTGACTAAAATAAACCGCATGGACATCGTCCACCTCATTGAGACACAGATGAATAAGTCTGTCCAGGAACAGACCTCCAGAACATATGCTGAAATCGAGAGAACACTGGATCACAGTGAAGGTGAAGAACACTCTTTCATACAGATGCATTACCCTAGAACTGGGACACATTTAATTAACCTTTTTTTATTTATGCATAAAACAGTTATTGTACACTCAATTGTTCACTGTTTTTAATAATATAAATCCAAATTTAGTTGCAGATAAATGTGTAAAATTATTCTGCTAAAACAGAACAAAGCTCTAAGAAATTAAACATCTAAAACGGAGTTCTAATAATATTAGTATCTATAAGGAATGTTATGTAATTTCAATGTATTACATCCTTTAATCACCATTTGTTGTTTACAAAATACTATTTAATCAAACATTGAAAAATAGTTTTTGGAGAATAGTTTATAATGTTTAAAACTATATTAAAGTACCTTAAAATCTGTATTATTGTAAATAAACTAACCAAGTCACTGTAAATATTCTAAACGTTATTGTATGTAAACAGAAGCTTCACTGCAGAGTGTAGATATCATATGCAGACACTGTTTATCTCCTGATGAAGTTCCTCTGTAAGTGTTGTATGGTTTGTGCAGCGCTGTCGTCGGTGCAGGAGGATGTGGACAGTCCTCGGCTGGTCAGGAGAGTGGACGTTTCCTCTCAGAGACACCCTCCCGCCGTCTCAGAGGAGGACCTGTCAGTGGCCTCTCTGCTGGACATCCCGTCCTGGGCGGAGACGGTGGGACATCCGCACTCGGAGAGCATCCACGGAGACATGCTGGAGGAACTGGACATCACTCAGTGAGAAATCACAATACGTACACATAAACATAGATGTTCAATAATTTGTACATAGATATTCATTAATTACTGATAAATGTTAATAAGGCCAGAACATGTACATTGTGTACAACAGTTACAGTTAATAATGGTAAACAGTGGGTGAAACTAACATGGTGATTTTTGTTGTTTTACAGGGACAGTTTTACTAATGCATGGGCAGCTCAAGAGGTCAGAACTGAGTCTACTGGCAAATCTGAACACAGCGAACAAGTAAGTCGTTCTTTTGGTATAAGCAAAGCAGAGCTCCTGAGATTACTGTGTTGGGTTTTTTACCTGCTGTGCGGAAAGGCATGTTTCTTTAAGTTCTCAGATTCTGTCCTACAAGCATCATATGGCACTATTGAGGCTTCAGGGATCGTCCAAGAGGAGTTGACCACTTAAAAACCACATTTTTGAGGGCAGGGGGTCTTTAACCATGACTAAGCTCAGAATAGGGATGGAAAAATTCCCCATATTCATTTCATACTATTTCCTGAAAGTTTGTAGAAATTCTTCAGTGCTGATATCACAGAGCTGAAACAAAGCATACTCTCATTTGATTATATTTATACATTGATAATTGATTACTTGGCCAATGATGGATTGTTTGCTGCTTTCCTCCAACATAAGAGATAAGATAATCCCTTAGTCCCACAACCAGGGAAATTCACAGTGCTAAAGCAGCAAAGGGATAGCAAGGCACTCAAAAAAAGGAGTATCAAGAACAGAATTACCAAACAAGGTATAACCTTATTAATTACTTAACAAGTGTACAGTTTGTTACTTATTACCGTATAGGCTATATATATATATAATACTAAAGATAAAAAAATAAACTCTGTCCTTCACAAAAGTAACAATATAATATTATAAATAAAATAGCAAAAAAAAATTTACACTAACATGATGAAAATACAGCTTATGTCAAAACCTGACTTCAACTTCAAAGGGTGATCTTGTGGTGCCCCCTGGTCATGGCTTTAATGGTACTAAGCTTTTGGGAGACCTTGTTTTTACATGGCAAAAATCAACTTTTGCTTTGTAAAATGTTCTCTTTGAACATGCAAGATCAAATGGTATTACTTCATACGCTGTGTTGGGATTCTACAGCGCCCCCCACTGATAGTGTGTCTATTTCCACTTCCATCATCTTCCCTCGTCTTATTCTGTGTTGTTATCTTTTTTGCTGTCTTTTCCCCCCATCCCATTTTGTCATTCGTCTCCCAGCTGTCATCTACATCTCAAGAAGGAAACCAAACTCAGTGTGATCCTTTAGACCATGTGGACACCTGTCTCTCACCATCACCGACATTTTTAACCAAATGTTCAGAGCAGCAACAGCCACTTACTGAACGTAAAAAGAACTTCTTCAATTTCAGTCAAGTATCCATTGATAGATTTTCAGAAGAGGTTTCAGCAGAAGAGCCCTCAAATGAACGGGTGCATGCTTCTCAAGATCCTGGACCAGAAAACCTGGAGGATTCTCCACTTGAGGATCTCTCTCCTGTGTGTGAAAAAAGTGATATCGAAGGAAATGAAAAGTCTTTGTCAGAGTTAATACAATCGCCACTCTCTGAATCAGTTGAAACTTCAGACATCCTGCAATCGCCCTCAAAAGATAATGAGCAATCTTCCAGTGTACAGGTTCCTGAAAGTGATCAGGCATCTGGGCGAGATTGTATCCCCTCTTTGCCCGTTCAAATGTTGTGTGATGGTTCTCCAGAAGACTGGGTGTCTTCAACACAGCCAGATCAGCAGGATCAGGGGATTTCACAGGCAACCCCAGAGCTCATTAGGACCCCCATAGAATCAGATTATGTCTTTGTTGAATCTGACCAGATCTCTGATGGTCCAATGCAGTTTAGAGACTTTGATCCAACTGCTGTAAGTCAAATGCACAAAGTGGTGGAACAAGAAGGTATTGGCTTGACAGATACAGTAACGTCCGTATTGCCAAAGTCATCTTGTTACCTTGAATATGCCATGGAAAAGGAAGACCTTTCAGCAAAATTAGATGTAGTATCCCAGACACTTGAAAAAGAGAAGGAAACAGTTCATCCAGATGAATCCATCATTGTCCCAAGTGATTCTGAATTGCAGGAAGACAAATATCCTGCAAAATTAAATGCATCTCCTATGGAATCTCCAGAAGTGGTACATCATCCATCAGAGGAACTATGTGATGACCATGATTCTGATGTTTTCTCTGCACAAGAACAAGAAGCCCTCCAAATGCAGGATGTCCAGAGAACCCCCAGTGGTTACACTGATGATGGTAAAATGAGTTGCGAAGGTCAATTTGAAAACAACACTGTGCAAGACTCTTGGAATAAGACCACCCTTCATAGAGAAGTTTCACCATTTTCTGTCTCTGATGTTTCTCCGCAAACACCAGAAACGGTCAGAACCACTCAGCACTTTGAGTTTGAGGATATACTTTCAGAACCAGTCAGCACTGAGCCAAACTTTGTCAAGGAGTCGATGCAATTTTCTGTTCTTACCAAGGATGCTGAAACTGCAAGGATTCTTACCAAAGATTCATTGGCTTCAAAGTCTAAAGATTCAAAAAGATCACTGTCTCAGTCATTTGCATCAGTGTCACAATATTCAGAGAAAGCTTCTTTGGCCCGTAGTTTCTCAGAGGCTGAGCAAACAACAGACACTTTTAACACAGATCAGGATTTGCCATTGCCTCAAAGACCTGTTTCCACAGAGCATCCATTGCCTGGTCAACTGGTCATCTCAGAACCTGTTACTTCAAAAGATTTTGGATCTGAAAATGATATTTCACTCATAAAGCCCTTGACTGACAAATCTCACTCTACAGTTGAGCCTGAAATTGTGGAGGTACCAGATGACCCTGCAGAGGATTCTCCTTCACTCGAGATCTGTGAATCTTTCAAAGCCTCAGATGGAAAGCCTCGTGTCCTCCCGAGATTTCTCCAGAGGCCTGAAGACTCTGATTCTGAGACCTTCTTTGAATGCAAACAGACAGTCTCTGATTACTCAGAACCAGAGCTAGACGGTGGTTATGATGCAGCCAACTCTTGTTTTGGTAAACCAAAGCCACAACTCAGAACTCAAAGGCCATTTTCTTCTTGCAACCTTAAAAAAGTGTTTCGGGCATCCATCCAGTCTTCAGAAAGTGAAGATTATATGGATGCGCCAATCATCCAGGAGCCCTCAGGAAAATCTCAGGAAGAAGATGAGGAAGATTTGGCACACATGAGACAGAAGATGTCACGACCTTTCATATGTACTCCTCAAGAGCTCCATACTCAAGGAGGAGCCATGGATGATGATGATGATAGTGATGATATTTGGAGGGTAAGAGTTCAGAGCATGACCCTTTCCTCCTTCTTACCCCAAACTGCTTAACTTTGCTCCTACTAAAGAAGGAATGCTGTTGCTTCACGACACAAGATTCTGTGATTTAATTAATCACCAGTGGATTTCTGCAAGTTCAACAAAAGTATTTAGGCAGAATTAAACTTAATTCCAAAGAGAACTTAACAAACATCTGAGCTTATTTCTCAATAAAAGACAATTAACCATATCCTATTCAAAATTTAACATTCATAACCACTGGCTTAATTTATAAGCTTGATCACATTCTGTTGCTGCATGTTTTGTACAATTGTGTCTAAACTTTGTTATAGTCACGTCTGTGATAAAATAATAACTCAATTAGAAAAAGATCAATGTGAGAAATGGTGCTTATGTAATGTACTACCAGTTTGCCAACAGATTGTTTGTTCTTACATTGACTTTTTTGTGAATTGATTATTATTGTATTATCATTATTATTATTATTGCATGGATGTCCCATAGGACATGTGCATGCCATCAGATAAGCTGAAGTTGTATCCTTATTGTTTCTTCAGTCATGTCCACCAGGTGTTATATTTTTTTTCAGCAGTTAAGTGCTCCAACAAAATCATCCATAGTTTTTTCTTACAAGTAGATATGCACAATAGAGAATTAGGAGGCAATTGGGCATCATGTTCCTCATCACCCATTTACCAAACCCAGTGTTTTTAAACTTTGTTCTTTATTATTATGTTTTTCAAGTAGGCAGGGGATGAAAAACAGAAAGTGAAAAAATAAGTGAACAGAGTACCTCAGGGTTTCAGTCACAACACACAGCCTATTAACTGTATACACTGGTTATAAAATTTCATAAAGCTGATTACACAGCTAATATCTTCAAAATGTATTCATGCATTAATTTTCACATCACAACTTTTTTGCTCTTACTGTGTAAGTCATAAGCAATGGCATTCTTACTAGATTTTTTTTTGATCGAGTATCTATCCTCCTCACTCAGAACTGACAGGGTTCATTTCTGGCAACTCCAGAAAATATGTGCATAATGTATATCATTTTCTGATGATTGTTATGCATGGTCAGGATGTAGAGGAGGAGCTAGGTGTGTTATCTGAAAGCTCTGATGAAGATGTGCTGAGCACCAGGGTGGTCCGGAGGAGAGTGATCATTCAGGTACAACATTTGAAGGCTTCCTAAACGAGACCTACTGATTTGGAGTGTCTACCCATTGCCTGGTGATTTGGGAATGTCAGTTTGAGTCCTGTTTGGAGTAGTTTCTTTGCATTTCCTTAGACAGCTGACTGAAGTAACCTTCTCTTTTTCCCAACTCCCTGTTTTTGAAGATGCTGCTTATCTTTTCTAACTTGACTTACTAGCTGCTTTGTGGAGAAGTTGATTTGCCAGCTAATTCTAACCTACGCAAGCTTAACCACATTTTTTTTCAAGTGCTGGTTGAAGTTGGCCTTTTCACTGATCTGAGGTCACTTTTGTGCATTTGTGCAGGCTGGACTTAGATCATTGTGAAATTTCAACTTTTTTTCTTCCCTTATTTTATCTTTAATCGTATCTTTAACCTCACCCTATCCTACAGATTTGGTGCCACTGCTACCCTACTGGGCATCTGTATTATGGCAGGTTCTCTGCATTAACTCCTGATCTCTCTGTTTGGGAACAGGGGGATGAAGTCCCGGATATTCCTCTACAGCCTGTGACTGAGGAACAGTACATTGATGAACAGGGCAACTTGGTGATTAAAAAGGTACACCCTTAACCAGAATAACTACAGAATTAAGCCTGAATCTGCACTGGAGCTACAAGGTCGTCAAGCATTTGTTTACCAATAAACATTAACAGTTTTGCCAGGATGAACAGGTGGTATCTTTGTTTTCTGTGCAGGGTGATCAGGTAGTATCTTTAAGTTACCTGTGCAGGGTGATCAGGTGGTGTCTTTGTTACTAGTGCAGCATGATCAGGTGGTATATCTGTTACCTGTGCAGGGTGATCAGGTGGTATCTTTATGTTACCTGTGCAGGGAGATCAGGTGATGTCTTTATGTTACCTGTGCAGGTGAGCCGGAGGGTGATCAAGCGTTGTGTGTCTGCGGATGGTGTGGAGAGAGAGGAGGTCAGGGTAGAGGGACGTCCTGCAGGACCCATTACAGTCGGTCAGACAGACTCCTGCTCTAAAGTGGTGAAGAGAACTGTGGTAAAGAGTGAAGGAGACCAGACAGAGGTGAGTAGATATGCTCCCTGGGACAATTAGTCACATACATAATTTCTTCTCTAGTACTTCATTAATTGTCTCCTCCTCCTTAATAACAGCTCCAACTCATTCAGGTCAGGATTACAGGGGTGTCTCTGAGAGAGTTCCTATAGTCCACTCTGACTCTGTGCTTCATATTTGAGCAGAACACAATAGTGAAACTCCTACATTCCAGCATGAGAACTGTAGGGTGTTTGTGTGACTGACCATACCAGACATAACATACCAGACCTCACTCCCAGTTCTCAATGTGGACCCTCAATGTGGCTGAAATGTGAACCCAGTTAGTAGAAAAGAGGACTAGAAAGGACAGGGACTCTCTCAGAGACAGCGTAAAACTTGGGTTGTGTAATGTAAAGCATGTTCCAGCTCATTTGAAACTCACCTGCTACAAGAAGTTTCATAAAACAGACCAATGAAATGCTATAAATGCATCACATGATTACGTCAAAAGATTTTATTAGATCAGTGGACACAAAAATCTTAGATGAAGGTTTGTTGGATGTTTATGAGATCATCCTGGCTGACTTTATATAAGTTTGGTCGTTTTTCACTTTGTCAGTTTTCTGAGTCACAACAACAAACAAGTTTCTCAAAGCTTACATTTCTGTAAACAGCTGTATTCACCAGCCACCTACCATTAACAGCTGTTTAAACGGCTGCTTGTTCTGCTGTTTATTCTTTTTCGTTCACTGCTGTAATTGTGATTTCCGCTCTTGATGCCCTTCTTTCTGAGGAGGTAAATTATTATAAAAGAGCAGAGACTGATATGCACCCCTCAATGAACAAAATTGCAGTGCTTCTAGAATAGAATAAGTGAGTTGTAACGGCTACTTAAACTTTAATTTTCAAAGCTTAACATACACAGAACAGACTAAAAGCTCTGATATGTAGTAAATAACCCTAGATTGATAAATAATTTATATATAAGGTTAAAAAAAAAGACACAGACAACTGAAAAAAATACAAAGACAATAAAAAATGCTGCAAATTATGGAGACACACTGCAGATGACTTCATATAGCGAGAACAATACGATGTATCAAAAAGCCCATGCTGCAAATTTGGCTAAATGCTATAGTAACTGAGCGTGCTGCGTGCAACTTTGTTCTTGGGTTGCCTCATGTACCTGTCAAATTAGGGCTGGGCAATTAATCAAAAAGTAATCGAAACCGACATTAAGAACCTTTAACCGACATAATCATGCCCAGGTCGGTTCTTTCGATTTTAAAAAATTCTGTTAATCCTTTCCCCACTCTGTGTGTTCATGTACTGTCCCCTTAAAACTTACTAACGAGTGTGTAGTCGCATGACTCCGCCACGTCCAGTCTGAGACATGGAAGCTAAGGCTACATTCACACAGCAGGTAAAAGTGGCCCAGATCTGATTTTCTCACCAAATCTGACTTTTTTTTGTTTGTCTGTTCACATTATCGTTTAAATGTGATCTGTATGTAACATCAGTCTGAACAGATCAGCTCCTAAACTGACCCACACATGCAAAAGACCAATGCTTCACGTTGCTTCACGGCTCATCCAGAGGTAAACAATCACAACTGCCAACGAACGCCAGTCGCTCCCGGAGGATCAGCTTCATCTTCACCAGCATCACAGGAGCCATCATGAAGCTTCACTGACTGACAGCTGGGCTCATCACCCAGAATGTGTTTGAGCTGTAAAAAGGGCGCGGTCACTTCTTTGGTTCGCATCCTCGGATTCTTTAAACTCTGCTTTTAGGCTTTTAACTGTTCTTTGACGCTGCAGCCTCGTTCTCCTACGACCACGCTCGGCCATTTCTTTTGAAATCTCTTCAAACACTAAGGTGTTTTGGATCAGTCTCTTCTAATTTTTGTACTGAAATATCACCCCAAATGTTTGAGTCTCAGCAGCATGAAATTCTGAAGAATGTCGAGTTGGATTGACGTAAAAGCTGCATGAATTCCGATCTGACTGTTGAGACGATTACATTAAGACGTACAGAGCATATTTACAGTACAAACCTTGTCGGTGAGCTATGAAAAAAAAAAAATAAATAAATAAATGAAATAAATAATCGTTCAGTCATTGCAGTCGAGGTAAAATATTAAATTAATCGTGATATTGATTTGAGGTCATATTGCCCAGCACTATGTCACATTGCTTCAGGGCCGCCAAAACCACAGAGTAGAGCAGGTATTTGACCCACCACTTTTTAGTACTGTGCGAGTTCAGGATGCGTACATCAACATAAAAACTCTGCTTTCCTTAAACTGCACAAAGCGCTGACCAGTGCAAACGGGCAGAGTCTCCAACTCAGCAGCAGAACCAAGCAGAATCTCCAGTGCAGCTCAGAGATGGGACATTTCCCAAACAGTAAAACCTTAATGAGCTCAGTGTTCAGTGAGAGGAGCTGCAGCTCACTGACCCAGTAAACATGAACTAAAGCGCAGTCACAGTTTGTGTTAGTTCACTGTGTGGATTTAATAAATGCCAGTTTGAATATTTGAAGAGTTCATTTACTAAAACAAATATCTCCATTTTCATAAATCATGTTTCTATTATTGTGCATTCCAGGTTATATCAACCAAACATTGATTGGGTGTTTTTGATAAAGTAAAAATAACTCAACAAAATACAAGTAACCTATACAATTAAACTTTATTGACCTTTTTTTAATTAATTTTTTGGCAAAACTGCAATGGTCATTTCACATTTCAGAGTTAAACAAAGCCATTTAATGGTCATAAGTTTCTTTAAGGTCAACATCTTTACCATAAAACAAGCAGATAAAGACTGAACACAAACAGCCATTAATGGTCAATATTAAACATCTATAAGATCAGAGCTCAGAAAATTCTAAGGCTGGATCTCATGGCTCACTGCCCAATGTCCAGTATGAATTGTGCTCACATGGCTGAATCTAAAGTGGTTCTCTGTTAGACTCACTGAGCTCTGTTTAGATGCGCACACACATACACACACACACACATACACACACACACATCTTCTAAGCCACTTCTCCTTCTGGGTCGCGGGGGGGGCTGGAGCCCATCCCAGCATTCATTGGGTGGAAGGCAGGATACACCCTGGACAGGTCACCAGTTCAACGCAGGGCTCCGTTTAGATGCAGTAGCCTTTATTTACAGACCTACGTGCTGCACTTTGTAGGGAGTTGGGAGCCATTTAAGATGCTGCCTGAAACAGTTGGCGGCAGTGTTGCATCACCTGACCCGAAAACTGCGTGCTGATTGGCTAAACGGATGTTTTGGGTTCTGCCTCGACAATGAACAAGAACGGCTTTAGCGACTAAATGTATTTAGGGTTCAGAATGAGCTGCATGTTAGAATAACTCAGTCAGATTGTTTTTTAAAGGATGGCATTTATTGTTTTTTGCAAATGAACTCATTTCTTACTGCTACATTGCTGAATTAAAGTCATTTTCAGACCTACCTTGTTTGGTGTGGACCTGTTGAGCTGAACCACGTTAATTCAGAAGGGAATTCAACACCAGAGCATGTTCTCCTCAGTGCACATCATTTACATTTATGGCATTTGGCAGACGCTCTTATCCAGAGTGACTTACAGTTTGATCATGTTACACAGGTAGGTGAAGGTAGTGTTAGGAGTCTTGCCCAAGGACTCTTATTGGTATAGTGTAGGGTGTTTACCCAGGCAGGGGATTGAACCCCAGTCTACAGTATAGAAGGCAGAGGTGTTACCCACTACACTACACCAACCACAACATCATCAGTGCTGAACAATCGGATGCTTATATCACTCCTACAACTTGAGGTGCTGTTAATAAAGGCAGACGAGCATTAAAACAACAGCAAAGATGTGTTTGATTTCGGCTCCTGGATCGCAGAGTATAGTTTTGGCCAAGCATCGGTGACCTGATTGGTTACATTCAAACTGGTAAATCGATCATAAAGAAGCTGATATCAAGTAAGGTTTACTACTGCTGCTGACTGTGATACACAGAAACTATAACCAACAACAAACAAACACTGACCCTGTTAATGAATAGGTTTATAGAGGCGTGTTATTAGCGCGGCATTAAAAATTGCATTTCATCTCTCAGCCAGCCAAGTTTTTATTCATTTTTTTTCAGATAATGTTTTTTATTCTACGCAGGTAACGTTCTGTGAGCAAAATACGGCGGCAGGCAACGTGGAGGAGAATGGCGGGGGTCGAGAGGTCACTCAGACGGTGCGGACAACGGTGGTGAAGGGTGAAAGAATGGAGAAACGACTGGGAGACCCTCACCTGGCCACAGACCTGCCCACCGCCCAGGACGACTTCACACAGGTGAGTCCGTCACAGCAGACTTTGGCTTTAAGGTTCACGTTACTGCTGTATTATTGCACAATAGCTGGTTTACTCCAGTCTTAGCATCAGCATTACTATAACCTCATTCACTGTTAGCATTAGCTTCACCATAAGCTCCTTCACCTTTAGCATTAGCATCACTCTAACCTCCTGCACTGTTAGCATCAGCATCACCTTAACCTCCTGCACTGTTAGCATCAGCATCACCTTAACCTCCTTCACTGTTAGCATTAGCATCACCCTAACCTCCTTCATAGTTAGTGTTAGCATCGCCCTAACCTCATTCACTGTTAGCATTAGCATTACCTTCACCCTAACTTCACTCACTGTTAGCATCACCCTATCCTACCTTAACATTAGCATGACCTTAACTTCCCTTAGCATTAGCATTAGCTTCACCCTAAGCTCCCTCACTGTTAGCTTCAGCATCACCCTAACCCCCTTCACTGTTAGCATTACCATCAACCCAACCTTGCTAATCATTAGCATTACTGCGTGGCTGACTGAGCGCCCTGTTTGCAGGGGCTGATGGTTAATGTAGTTTTTGTGGTTCTCCAGGCTCTGCAGTATTTAGGGGGCTTTGAGAAGGTTCAGGTTCCTGCAGGTGTACAGCAGGAGATAAAGCAGCGTGATGGATCTGTCATCAGGAGGTCTGACCACTGGCATGGTGTGTTTGTGTGTTGGAGTGAACTGCACTGTCGTGTTTTTATTACAGTAAATGAGTCTCCGACTGCTGTGTGTGTGACGTCAAGACACTAAACTCTAACCTCTCAGCTGTGAGGAGGACGATCTACACGACCTCACAGGAGAAGTCTACAACTAAATCAAGAGAAAACTGAAACGCTGATCTTTGGCACTGAGACTCAGAGAAAGCTGCTTTATGAGAGACTCAGCTCTTTAGCTTCTAAGCCTGAAGTAGGAAACCTGGGTGTGATCTCAGGGCGTTTTCACACTTGTCTCGAACCCTTGACTCCACACTTGAAGACTGATACTGGGCTCGTTTGCAGGAGAAGCTTATCGCTGGTTTGATTTAACACACAAGACTTCCATCCAAATCGTGAATCGATTGTGCAATTTTGTCATTTTTCTGTGCACAGGTTTGCAGAATAGTCGGCATGGATACGTCGAAACTTGTTACAAAATGAACCTTCTTATTATTCCACACTCAAAAACCTTTAAAAGGTTCTTCTACCTGGGATACCATAGGAACCGCCTAGCAACACCTTAGCGACCATCTGGGATACCATAGCAACTGCTTAGCAATACCTTAGCAACCACCTGGTATACCATAACAACTACCTAGCAACAACTTAGCAACCACCTGGGATAGCATAGCAACTGTCTACCAACACCTTGGCACCCATCTGGGATACTATAGCAACTGCCTAGCAACATCTTAGCGACCATTTGGGATAGCATATGAACTGCCTAGCAACTTTATCAACCACCTGGGATACCATAGCAACTGCTTAGCAACACCTTAGCAACCTGGAATATCATAGCAACTACCTGTCAACACTTTAGCAACCACCTGGGATAGCAACGCAACTGCGTAGGAACCACCTGGGATACCATAGCAACTTCTTAGTAGTATCTTAGCAATCTGCGATATCATAGCAACCACTTAGCAAGAACTTAGCAACCATCTGGGATACCACAGAAACGAACTAGCCACATTTTAGCAATCACGTACCATATATACCATAGCAATTATCTAGCAACACTTGATCAACCATTTTGATACCATAGCAACTGCCTAGCAACACTTTAGCAACCACCTGGGATCCCATAGCTACTGCTTAGCAACACCTTGGCAAACCTGGGATGCCATAGCAACCACGTAGCAATACATTAGCAACCATCTGGAATACCATAGCAACTGCTTAGCAATACTTTAGCAATCTGGGATATCATAGCAACCGTTTAGCAACACCTTAGCAACCTGGGATATCATAACAACTACCTAGTAACACTTGATCAACCACTTTTGATAACATAGCAACTGCCTAGCAACACTTGACCAGCAATTTTGATACCATAGCAACTGCCTAGCAACACTTGACCAGCCATTTTTGATCCCGTAGCACTTTAGCAATCACATGGGGTAGCATAGCAACTGCCTAGCAACCTTAGCAACCACCTGGGATAGCATAGCAACTGCCTAGCAACCTTAGCAACCGCCTGGGATAGCATAGCATCTGCTTAGCAACACCCTAACAACATTTCAACATTTTGAGAGCGTCTGTCTCTGTTGTTCCTCTCCTCTTCGTCACTGTATCTGCTGCTTCCTGCTGGATCAGCTTCACTGGCTATGTTTACATGCAAAGATTTTTGCCAATCCGATTGAATACAATCCGATTACAGATTCAGACTGAGGTGTTTATATGCACACTCTATTCAACGATTTGATGGAAAATCTTCCACACGTTTACATGCTCACTACAAGTAAGCCGATGCAAAATGACGCGCATGCGTGGAGTAGCGTTTAGAGTAAACGTTACCATGACAGCGAACATCACGTGAGGTCCAGTCCGCGTGATATGAGTTTCCAGTTGGCGCGCTTGTGTTTTAATTGCTTTAAAATGATGTCAGACTCAGGAAAACGTGCTTCACATGTGCTTATAAAGGAAGTGGCGAGAGGAAGACGTCGTGTTCTGAGACACATAAGCTGGACGTCCGTCCCACCGCCGTCTTTTAAAGCTCAGAGCATAAACTTCGTCTCCTCTGCAGACCCGTTTCTGCTCCGCCATGCTGAACGGTATAAACTTTCGCCATGACGCGACGCACATGCGCAGAACATACTTACACGTTCCGATTGGGATGTAATCGGATTCAGGCGTTTACATGGCTATTATTCTTCTATTTAACGGATTATTTAGAGGTTTACCCACCTCGTTCAGTCGGATAGAAATTGTAATCCGAATGGCCTCAATCGGACTAGTCTATTCCGATTGAGGTGTTTACATGGACGTGTTCTATTCCGATTGAGCTATTAGTCGGATTATTAACGGATTATCAGGCTGCATGTAAACGTGGCTTGTGTCTGTTTATACTGTCTGTAACCCACACTAACGCCAGACTGCAGTCGCTGAGCCACCGTCTCAGATCTGATATTCGCTAAATTTCTCTCTCTCTCTCTCTATTCTCTCTCTTCCTCTCTCTCTCTCTCCCTCCCTCTCTATATTCTCTATTCTCTCTCTCTATTCTCTCTCTTCCTCTCTCTCTCTCTCTCTCTCTCTCTCTATTCTCTCTCTCCCTCTATATTTTCTATTCTCTCTCTCTATTCTCTCTCCCTCTCTATATTCTCTATTCTCTGTCTCTCTATTATCTCTCTCTCTTCCTCTCTATTCTTTCTCTCGCTATTCTCTCTATTCTCTCTCTCTTCCTCTCTATTCTCTCTCTCTCTCGCTGTTCTCTCTCTATTTTCTCTCTCCCTATTCTCTCTCTTTCTCCCTCTCTCTATTATCTCGCTCTCTCTCCCTCTCTCTATTCTCTCTCTCTCTCTCTCTCTCTGTTCTCTCTTCCTCTCTATTCTCTCTCTCTATTCTCTCTCTCTCTCTGTCTCTCTCTCTCTCTCTCTCTCTCTCTATTCTCTCTCTTTCTCTCTCTCTCTTTCTCTCTCTCTATTCTCTCTCTCTCTCTCTCTCTCTCTCTCTCTTTCTCTCTCTCTATTCTCTCTCTCTCTCTCTCTCTCTCAGGGAGAAGATGAGCAGTACTAAGTCTCTGAAGCGAACTGTGCTGAAGGACGTTCGAGGGAGGCTGCGGGTGTTTGTTGAACAGCTGGACCGCCCTCATCGTCACCATGACGACCTGCAGCAACACGTCCGCCGCCTCGTCCAGCACTACTGCGGCCGGGCAGAGGAGGAGGAAGAGGAGGAGTGAAGGCCTCGCCTTTCCTCTTCTTCCTCCGAGTCCTTCCTCCTCTGGCCCTGCCCCCTAATTTCCCTATGCATCGCGCTCCAGCAATCCCACAGTGCACCTCACTCCTGCCACGCCCAGTCTTCCTGTCCGTCAAGCTGTGGGCGGGTCCTGTCGCCATCTTCTCACCGTCCTTCGCGTTTATCTCGTGGAGTTTCGTTTGTGTTTCTTCACTTTTTCGTGACCAAAGAGAGTTTACTGTTTTTTCTTTATAAAAATTATTAAACCCTTTTTATTCGTAATCGTGACAAAGTAAAAAAAAAAATCAAGAAAACGGTCAGAAACGCTCTGATCGTTCAGGACGTTGGTTTATATGTGTTAAAGAGAAAATTCTGCACTTCATATCATACTGTTCATCTTTAAAGCATTTTAAAAGGGGAATTCCACCAAATTTCTCAAAATTCATCCGTAATTAAGAGTGTGAGAGGTAGACAGATTCGGAGCGGTTTGGCGTGATTTCAGCTTCTCTTTATACATTAACATTAAACAGGCTGTTATCATTGCCTTTAAAACTGATATATATGTAAATGAGCTCTGTACTGGTTGGCGGCCCTGCATTCATAAGGCAGTCAATTTAATTTACTGTAGTCTGAATGGGTGGAGCTAAACTGCTGTAGGCTGAATGGTGGAGCTAATCTGCTGTAGTCTAAATGGGTGGGGCTAATCTGCTGTAGGCTGAATGGGCGGGGCTAAACGGTTGTAGCTGAATGGTGGAGCTAAACTGCTGTAGCTGAATGGTGGAGCTAATCTGCTGTAGTCTAAATGGGTGGAGCTAATCTGCTGTAGTCTAAATGGGTGGAGCTAATCTGCTGTAGTCTAAATGGGTGGAGCTAATCTGCTGCAGGCTGAATGGTGGGGCTAAACGGTTGTAGGCTGAATGGGCGAGGCTAAACTGCTGTAGGCTGAATGGGTGGAGCTAAACGGTTGCAGGCTGAATGGGCGGGGCTAAACTGCTGTAGGCTGAATGGGCGGGGCTAAGATGCTGTACATTGATGTAGGCTGAATAATTGGATACATGTTAATGAGTTGTTTTTTGTGACATCACAAAACCAACAAATTCTGTTCAGTTTAGTTCCTGGATATTTACTGAATGATTTGAGTGCTGAATGGTGAATGTTTAACAGTGTTTATGTTTGACATTGAACGCAGTGTTTGGTTCTCAGCCATATGGGCTCTTTAACCTCTTCGTCTGGTTCTGATCACCACAATTCTGACTCGGTTAGTCCCTCTAGATCAGAGCGTTTCACACCGAACCACTCTGAACGAGTCTGTTTACATCTTTAACGCTTAATCATGGAGAGAATTTTAGAAAACTGGATGGATTTCCCCTTCTACACAGTATTTATATCGCGCTCTTTGGGTAAAGCTGATAAACTCGTGTGCGTGTTCTCCGCCGTGAAGGCGGCGGTTCTGTATATAAACGCGTCTGAACGCGACTGTCGTGCACATTAACCGCGTGTGGAGGAAGTTAGCAGGCATGCTTCAGCTAGCGTCACTAATAACTGTGTTCACTCATATCTCACTGTGTCTGTATGTCTCTCGCCCTGCTCGCTCTCTCTCTCTGTCTCATAGCCTCACCGTGTTTCTCAGAGTGGATTGATTCTCTTTAATATTCTGAATGTAGCAGATCTGCGCTGAAGGTTCTGAGAGAGATGATTGGCTCATTCTCTGATCCTCCGACCAATCAGTGACCTGCTTTTCGTTTCAGACACTGTAAAACACATTTATTTATCTCTGTGTGTGAGTTAAGAAGAAAATGTTACAATCAGTGTTAATTATTTATTGATTATTTATTTATTTATGGACGATATATTTATGTTTCTGTTAAAAAGGAGGATCAGAGACGATGCAGTGAGTGAATGAAGAGTATGAATGAATGAATGAATGAACATGTGAGTGAACGAGTGAACGAACGAGTGAATGAATGGATGAAAGTGGTTGAGTGGGTAATTGAGTGAATAAATGAGTGTGAATAAATAAATGAATGAGTGAGTGAACAAGTATCTGAATAAAAGAATGAATGAATGCGTGAACGATTGAATGAGTGATTGACAGTGTATGAATGAAAGAATGACTGAGTGTATAAATGAAAGAATGAATGAGTGAATGAATGAATACATGATTGAATGAGTGATTGAATGAGTGAGTGAACGACAGTGTATGAATGAAAGAATGACTGAATGAGTGTATAAATGAAAGAATGAATGAGAGAGTGAATGAATGAAAGTAAGTGAATGAACGAATAAATGATTGAGTGAGTGAACGACAGTGTATGAATGAATGAATGAATGAAAGTGAGTGGATGAATGAGTGATAGACTGAGTCAATGAATGAATTAATGAGTGAGTGAATGAATGAGTGATTGACAGTCAGTGAATGAATGAATGAATGAATGAATGAATGAAAATGAATGAATGAATTATTAATATGGTGGTTCACGGCTGCTGCTGCTGCTGCTTTTCACTGTGATGCTCCACTTTCTGTTGAATGAATCCACATCCTGTCTGATATAACAATGATAATAATAATATACTTCTATACAGTATTTACAGTATATCTATAACAGCATGTATTAGTTTATTATTATTATACGACAGAAAGACATTTAAACAGTAAACAAGGCTGCAGTGTGTGTGTGTACGGCTGATAGAATAAAAGTGTAAAGTGTTCATCCCCCAGTGTCTCTGCTTTTCTTTACGAAGAACGTAAACTCTTCGTCCGAACAGGAGCTCTTCAGGCACGTTTTCAGATGGAGTGTAAACGTGTAAAGTGGTCTCCTATGGAGGGTACACGTCTGAGGACCACCACTTCAATGTTTGGTGCTGATGTGTAATCTGTAATCTGTGAATGTGCATCACTGCTAGCTTGGCGATAACATAACATAGAAAGATGCTAGCGGAAATTAGCTGTGCTAATCTATTTGATCAGCTCCTACATTAAACGCTGCTGTACGATAACATTCAACCCTGTTATGGATCTTATGACTGCGGTTCTCACTGTAAACAAAATTAAATAATTTTGTAAAAGGAGATTTTCTTAAGAAAGAAAATCTTAAATGTGCCTTTTTTCTTAACTACTTATGAATTTTACTTATGAAACTTCTTATCTCAGACTGTACTAATTAACAGTAACAGTAAGTGAACTTCTTAAACAGCGATTTCTAATGAATATCACAAATATAATTGTTAAAATAAACTAAAAAAATTCCGATAACCTAAAAGCGATATTAATCGTCTACATGACATCACCTATAGCCTACTTATGAGAACAATTTTCTAAAGAAAATAAGGTTTTCTTTAGAGATTATTTGAGAATTTACTATGTTTTTTGCGAGAATTGTATTTCAGAACATTCTTACGAACTTCTTAGTGTTTGTCTTGAGATCCTTCGTAAGTTTCGAGCCCACAAGTCCAGAGATCCAGTTTAAATCAGAACTGAAACTGAATCGGAATCAGATTGTGTTGTGAATCCAGAATGGAAAAAAGTCGGATTTCCGTGTTTCCTTTCTTATAAAGTGCAGAAAATCAGAGACGAACAGAGCGAGTTCACTACATATCACACCTTTATTATCGTTTTCTTTAAATATGTTGAGTTGCTAGTGCCGTCATGGCAACCAATGATATATCACACCCCCTGTATCCAGGGTTTCTGCAGAGAATGATTCCCCCCCCAAGAAAATAACAATAACAACAATAATAAGTAATAAAAATAATAATAAAAACAGACAAATGGACGGTTTGTAGCATAGTCTTTTAGTGATGAGGTTTTTTTCCTCTAGGAAGACCGTTCCCTTCTGACATCACTATGACATCATCCGTTTGAGTGGCACGCTGACGGGCGGCGGCCACCAGGGGGCAGTGTGCTTACAGCCTGCATTCAGCAGAATTAATATGTGAATATTTCAACACAAATAGAGTTCCTCAGGGTTCTTCACATCCAGGAACAGAACGTTAACACATCCAGAATCAGCTGATAGAACCTTAAAATGCCTAGAATCAGCTGACAGAAGCTTAAGACAGCCAGAAACAGCTGGCAGAACCTTAACACATCCAGGAACAGCTGATTAATAGATCCGTAACACATCGGAAACAGCTGCTAGGACCCTAACTTGTCCAGGAATAGCTTGTAGAACTTTAATACACCCAGGAACAGCTGACAGAACCTTAGCACATCCAGGAACAGCTGATACAAACGTATTGCGTCCAGCAATTGCTGATAGAACCTTAACATGACCAGGAACAGCTAATAGAACCTGAACACAACCAGGAACAGCTGATAGAACCTTAACATGGCCAAGAACAGCTGATACAACCTTACCATGTCCACACATAGCTGATAGAACCTTAACTCATCCAAAAACAGCTGATTAATAGAACATTAACACATTCAGGAACAGCTGATAGAAACTTATTGCGTCCAGGAATAGCTGACAGAACCTTAATGCATTCAGGAACAGCTGATAAAACCCTAACATGTCCAAGAACAGCTGATAGAACCTTCATTTTTTTAAGGATTTTCTTTAGAGATTATTTGAGAATTTACTAATTTTATCTGTTTCATTCTTACCAACTTCTTAGTGTTTGTCTTAAGATCCTTCGTTTTTTCTTAGGAATACTTTTGTGAATGCGGCCCACAAGTTCAGAGATTCAGCTGACAGAACCTTAACACAGCCAGGAACAGCCGACAGAATCTTAACATGACCAGGAACAGCTGATTAATAAATTCTTAACACATCAGAAACAGCTGATCGAAACCTATCTTGTCCTGGAATACCTTATAGAACCTTGACACATCCAGAAGCTGACAGAAACATACTGTGTCCAGGAATTGCTGATAGAACCTTACCATGACCAGGAACAGCTGATAGAACCTTAGCACGTCCAGGAACAGCTGATAGAACCCTAAAATGTCGGGAAATAGCTGATAGAACCTTAACTCATCCAAGAACAGCTAATTAATAAAACCTTAACACATCCAGGAACAGCTGATAGAAACTTATTGCGTCCAGGAACAGCTGATTCAACCTTAACACAGCCAAGAACAGCTAATTAATAGAACCTTAACACATCCAGGAACAGTGGATAGAACCCTGACTCATCCAGGAATAACTGACATAACCTTCACATGTCCAGGAACTGCTTATAGAACCCTAACTCATCCAGGAATAGCTGACATAACCTTCACATGTCCAGGAACAGCTGATATAATCTTAACACATCCAGGAACAGCTGATAAAACCTTAATGCATCCATGAACAACTGATAGAACCTTAACCCATCCAGGATCAGTTAAGAGAACCTCCATGTTGGAATGTATAACTTTAATAACCCATTACTGTACAATAAATGTATAACTTTAATAACCCATTAATGAGTATAAAAACACCACAGAACCTTCCGTTTGGTCTAAAGTGCTCTAGTTGTGTTTCAGATAAACATCTAAAAGTAAACATTTGAATTTTGGGGGTTTCATGTAATGTTTTTACTTTTATTCACAGATTTTCAGTAACGATTACAAAACCTAATAATTTGCGAATTAATTGTTGTTTCATAGTTTGTTGATTGTTAACTATAATTGCTACATATGCATTAATAAATGACAGTATTAATATATTAACTTTTTTACTCACTAATAGTTAATCGCTATTTTAATTGATAGAAACCTGATCAAGAATAATTTGGATTTTTGCTTTCAGTTTTCATTCATGTTTTAATCTTCAACCTCCAGCGTTCTTATAAATGTATTTGAACGTATTAAATAATCTTATGATTATATATTTATCAATACATCATAAAGTTCAGTCCCAACTGTACAGCTGGGGTAAAATGATGAATCATTCATGTTTAAAATACACCAAAAAAACATTTTGATTAACTAAGAATTAAGAAAATTCATCACAAAGTAAAAGGATAATGAACATTTATTCATAATGTTATAATGATTATGAATTGGGTGAGTTATGAGTATCAAATTATTAATTAAACTTTTATTAAGGGTTCTATAACTCAGAACAATGAATAATTGTTTGTACGTCACCGAGTGAAAAAGGTTAATAATCCAAATGATAGCATTTATTAATACACTTGTAGCCATTATATAATTATTAAAGTGCTGTCACATTTTCTTTTGTTTTAAAAATCGATCATGTGACCAAAATACCGAATTTGATGATGAATTAATGATAAAAACTCACTTTTTTAGCCTGCTGGTGTGATTAGAATTGTTTTTTTAAGTTTGTGCTCAAATCTGCAAAATTTCACATTTCAGATTTGGACATTAATGGGTTAAATTCAGAACGCAAGATATGTAAATATGTTAATATGCAAATACGTAAATACATAAAATCACTGAAATGATGACCGACCCTCATTTTAATAAATATCCGTATCTATGGCATTGATAGAAAAGGCCAAGAATTACGTTACATAAAGAAGAAAATCGTGATCTTTCGTAAACAGTCCTCCATGCACGACTCTGGCTGATATGCTACATTCTCATCAATATTAATATTAATATTTATATTTGTATATACTTCTGTATGTATGCGTCTGCTGTGGCGTGGAGGAAACAGCCAGCCTCTCTAAACTCACTCGTCATAAACGAAGCCTGTAACAGTTCTGCTGAAAGCTAAAATTCAAAGTATGTATTTTTCATTTTCTTTTTTTTGTTTTGTTTTTTTTTCGTAACAACCACAACGATATGTACATCACCATGACAACAGCAAGCTTAATATTAACATTCTTATCTTTCAAATGTTGATATATTGCACGCACACACACACCCACACGCACGCACACATAAACAGACATAAAAATACAGTTTAGACTCAGAGGGGGTGGGGTTGGGGCAGAAGGGGCAGGGCTTTGGGTGGAAGGGGCAGGGCTTTGGGTGGAAGGGGCAAGGCTATCTTTACATTTCTATACATTTAAAATGCATACCAAAACAGCTTAAGAAAGAAAAACAAACACAAAATAAAATGTTAAAAATTCACTCCCTTTGATAAGATAATGTCCGTTTGTGTCTGATTGACCCGCCGGCGGGGGGGGCGGGGGGCAGTACAGGTGTAAAGGAGATGGTGCTTGGGCAGGTGGGTCTGGGGTCGAAGTTCAGGCTTTAGCACAAGATGGTCCTCTTCAGCTGGAACTGATTCTGTTAACTACAAAGCAAATGAACAAACAAACACAAACAGCATCAATACTGTAAACACATCTTGGAAGAGGTTCTCCACTGTTCCAGGTTTTCTCTATTTGGAGATAATGGTTCTCACTGTGGCTCTCTGAAGTCGCAGAGCGTCAGGAAGGGTTTTGTTACTCTTCCTAGGCTGATATACTTCAATAACGTTCTGGTCTCTTCTGTTATTCTGCTTCTAAACTCAGAAGAGCTCAGCTCACCTTCAATTAGACAGTGAAGCTCAGTGGGTGCTCCACAAATAAAGATATAAATAAAGATTTTATTGCTATTATTGTTATGTTTTGTTTTACTCCACATTGGTGGAAAGGTTCTTCTGAAGTGATGTCCAGTTTCAGCAGGGCCTGCAGTGATCGAGACCGAGTGTGCTGTAATGTAACAGAGCCCAATTATCAATTAAACATAGATAATTGGCTGACTGAGTAACTAAAGGGGGCAATTACTTTTTCCCATGGGGCCAGTTGGTGCCGTGTTCACTCAGTCACATCACAATCACATCCGGTTTAAAAGACCTAAGTGTGAATAACAGCAGCACTGCAGGTGATCGATCACTGATCAATACGGAGCTGTTCTTACTTGATGGGCACGCTGGGGGCGCCGGAGCGGTGGAAGTGGATGTTCTGCCATTTGCCGTCGCGGCGGTGCCACACGCGGGTCTCCTCGGACTGCATGGTGCGCGGCCGGCCGCTGCCGTCCATGTACTGCGTCAGGCGGATGTAGGCGATGCAGGCGGCGTCCTCGCCGATCAGGTGGACGTGAGGGTTCAGCAGGATGGTGTGGACCGGCTTGTTACCCTTAGACAGACCTCAACACGGAAAACACAAACACACCAGCAGCTCTGCAGTGAAAGACGGCTTTAGTGTTTACAGTTTATAAACCTGTTTGCCTGTGGAAAGGCTGTAGGGATCTGTCGCCCCCTCTGGTGAAAAATGGAAACTGAATGTGCAACTATGTGTGGTTTTAACACCGCAAGAAGATGGAATTAGGGAACCAGCCCTGTGACTGGAACGTTACCGGTTCGATCTCCAGAGCCGACAGTATGTGACTGAAGTGCCCTTGAGCAAGGCACCCAACCCCCAACTGCTCCGCCGTGGATAGGGCTGCCCACTGCTCCAGGCAAGTGTGCTCACTGTCCCCTAGTGTGTGTCTTCACTAGTGTGTATGTGGTGTTTCACTGCACAGATGTGGAGGTGAATTTTCCCGCTGTGGGACTAATAAAGGTTAACTTAGTTGCACTGATTTTCAGCTCATAAACATAATAATAATTAGTCTTTGTTTATGTAGCACCTTTCTGAACTGTAGATCTAAGAAATGTGATCAAAATCCAAAACACGATCACAATAATTCACCAGTTTTCTCCACACAATGTAAGACACAATGTTTAAAATAAAAACAGAATGATAAAGTGCGCAAAGTTCTAGATACCATTCTCAAAGTAGAACCTGTGGAAATCATGGCCTTCCACCAGGTTCCCCAGAGCTTCAGGCTCGAAGGACGTCAGGCCAGGGTCGCAGATTTTACTGCCAAACAAACAAAAATATGTTTTACTTGATTTTAAAGAAAACATACTATTAAACTTTACTACAGTGTTTTATTAGTATTTTATGATGAACTGAAATTTATTGTGATTATTTCTGTTTTTTAATTCTGCTTCTGCTATTTTAGGACAAAATATTAACTGCAGTTAAATGACGAACAGATTATTCATAATGCCTATCTATAAATCACACATCAGACGTATGAAGGGTTTTATTCTAAACACAGTAACATGTTCAAGACTAAAATATTACATATGTTTTAATCACACATAATATATCAATTTTTTTATGGAGTTACACAGAGCTGGGCGAAATGGGTACAATGTCAGGATGCTTAAAGATGATTTTATGATACACAATGTGCCATAATATTTATTTTTGTGACATCAGAAGTTACAACAGACAATATAGAGACACATTAAAAAATACTGTTAAAAATTACAAATCCAATTACACATTTCACACACTGAGCTGCACCAAATCCAATTAAACAGGACTAATTAAGCTCTCTTAACCCTAATCCTAACTAAACCCAACTAAAAAGGACTAATTAAGATCTTTCTATCCTAATCCTTAATAAATCCAATTAAGCAGGACTAATTAAACCCCTTTATCCCAATCCTAACTAATTCCAACTATGCAGGACTAATTCAGCTCTCTGAACCCTAATCCTAACTAAATCCAATCAAACAAGACTAACTAAGCTTTTAGCCCTAAATAAATCCAAATAAACAGGACTAATTCAGCTCTTTGGACCCTAACTAAATCAATTTAAAAAGGACTACTTAAGCTCTTTTAACATTAATTCTAACTAAACCCAAAGAAACAAGACTAATTAAGCTCTCTATTTAATCAAAAATGCAGTTAAGAAGTGATTTTAAGTATTGATGTGATATCCAGGATACACCCAGAAAAGCATATTGTGACATATTTTGATGTAATCTATCACAATAACAATAATGATGATAATGATAAATATGTTTATATTGCCCAGCTCTCTCTCTCTCTCTCTCTCTCTCTCTCTCTCTCTCCCTATTAGGACTGGGCAATATGACAACATATATTGTTAGTATAATAAATTATGTCACAATAAAATATGCTTTTCTGAAAGTATTGTGGTTGATCAGATGTCTGAAAATATGTTATGACATTATATGTTGTGAATATATATATATATACATATATGTATATATATATATATGTTTTTGGACAGTCCAAAAACATGCAGTCAGGTCTGGTGACCTGTCCAGGGTGTATCCTGCTTTCCGCCCAATGACAGCTGGGATAGGCTCTAGCACCCCACCGTGACCCAGAAGGATAAGCGGTTTAGATGATGTATGTATGTATGTATGTATATATATATATATATATATGCACCCACATCAGGATATATAATCAAAACGTCGGATCAGTTTGTAGTGATTTATCTGATTTATTTTGCTGAAATGTTGTGATGATCTGCTTTGAGCTCTGATATTTTACAGTCTTTTGTGTTTATATTCGTGTTTGTGTTTGTGTTTATGTGCACACTCACGAATAAGCCTCAAAGTCTCCGCTGTTGATGGACTCGATGAGCTGCTCCGTCACTTTGATGATCTCCTGCTTTCTGGCTGTAACACACAGAGGACGGAATCATGACTCAGCACTTCTCACTGCAGCACAGCCAAACCACGACTCAGCATTCCTCACCACAGTCAGCATTACTCATCATTTACACTCAGTTTAGGAGCCCGTTTATACCCAGCGCTGCGCTGCACGATCACACGTTCACACTCAGCTCAGCCATTACGTTTTTATCCTCAGTTTACGTTAATAGCATTAAGTAGCTTCGCGACCAGGGCTGTCAAAGTCATCCATCACGGTTATTCACATTGATTTGTGCAGTTTGCTGTAATCAGTTTCAGTATTTCTGCAATTTATCACAATTTAACTACATGATTTTTGTAGCTAGTTGTGATGAATCACATTATTTTGTACAGTTAATCACTACTAGTCAAATGTGATTGATTATCACATCTATTCACATTATTTTGTGGTTAACTGCAATGAATCACATTTTTTCAGTTCAATCATAATTATTCACGTTATTTTGCGGTTCATTTCCGTTAATTACATTTTTTACAGTCAAATCACAATTAATCACATTATTTTGTGTAGGTAATCACAATCACATTATTTTTGTATATTATATATTATTTTGTGATTAACTGCAATTACACACATTTTGTATAGTTAATCACAATTAATTAATTATTTTTTGGTGTAGTTAACTGCGATTAAGCACATATTTGACTAGTTTCATGATTAATCACAATTTCTTATTTTGTGATAAATTGTGGTCAATCACATTTCTGCAGTTATATCATATTAACCTCATCATTTTGTGTAGGTAATCATGGCTAATTATGTTATTTTGCATAGTTAATCACAAGTAATCAAATTATTTTTTGTAGTTAACTGTGATTCATCACATTTTTATCTAATTAATCATGATTAATCTAATTATTTTGTGTAGTTGTGATTATTCACAGTTTTTGTGCAGTTCATCGCAATTAATGACAGTTTTTGTGTGGCTGAATGCAATTAATCACAGTTTCTGTGTAGTTAATTGTGATTAATCACAGTTTTGTGTAGTCAATTGCTACTAAACACAGCTTTTGTGTGTTATTCATGATTAATCAAATTATTTTGTGTAGTTAGTAATGATTAATTACATTCATCTTATTTATTTCCACCTTTGTTTCCATTTATTAAGCAGTACCTTGTGTTAATGAGTTAATGGCATTAAAATCATTAGTGGTGGTAATAATTCACTGCGTTACTGTTAACTGTCAACATTAATGTATTAACTTTGAACGCCCTGATAGCAGAATGCTAGACAGGATGGAGCACATTAGACTGGGTATAAATGGATGCCTAAAGGAAAGTGTTTCCCAGAATTCCTTGTTGTCCGATTTGTAGAATGAACAGTGTTTAGCGTCAGATTCACAGGCAACACTTTCATCCAAAAGATTAAAGGACTCATTTACCTTTACTGATTACATGGCAGGCTAAGGGACAGCAAAGAGACGCTCGTAATTGGTCAAAGAGTCAAATTTATTATGGAAAATAAAAAGCAATTCAACTACAACTACTGCATGATAGCAACAGTGGACCTTCGACCTACCGGGCAAAAAGACATGATATTACTAAATGTAGATCAGTTTTAAATCGTGTTTTTCAAAATATGTATTCATGATAAAGAACTCATTTCATCTTGAGCAATTTTGGAGTTTTTGGTGGAGTGTCTCCTGCCCGGAAGGCTCCAGATGAGAATCTGATGGTTAGGATATATTTAGTGACTTTAAAAGAATAAAAATGTTATAAAAAGTGTGATCTGATAACAAGAGGATATGCTGTGTACTATCAATTAAGTTTTAAATGAAGTTAATAAGATAAAGATGTTCAGTTCCAGACTGACAGTTCAAAGTGTTGTTGGGTTAAATTTAAACTCAGACAATGTTGAATAAAGTGGGACATCATTAAAATAGCACTCTTTCAAACTGAGATTTTGATATAAACAGTATGAATTGTTCAGCGTTTGATAATGAGTTGTGGTAAAGGTTAGCTAGTGAGTTAGCTATGACAATAGTTAGTGAGTTAGCTGTGGTAGTTAGCTAAGGAGTTAGCTGTGGTAAAAAATAGCTAATGCATAGCTGTGGTAGTTAGCTAGGGAATTAGCTGTGGTCACAATTAGCTAGTGAGTTGGCTGTGGTGATAGTTAGCTAGGCAGTTAGCTTTTGTAATAGTTGGCTAGTTAGTCAGCCATGGTAGTTAGCTAATGGGTTTGTTGTGGTAATAATTAGCTAGATATAAGCTGTGGTAATAGTTAGAAAATGAGTTAGCTGTGGTAATAGTTAAGGAGTTAGCTGTGACGATAGCTGGTGAGTTAGCTGTGGTAAGAGTTAGCTGGTGAGTTAGCTGTGGTAATAGTTAAGGAGTTAGCTGTGATGATAGCTGGTGAGTTAGCTGGAGTTAGCTGTGATGATAGCTGGTGAGTTAGCTGTGGTAATAGTTAGCTGGTGAGTTAGCTGTTGTAATAGTTAGCTAGTGAGTTAGCTGTTGTAATAGTTAGCTAGTGAGTTAGCTGTGGTGATAGTTAAGAAGTTAGCTGTCATGATAGTTAGCTGGTGAGTTAGCTGTTGTAATAATTAGCTTGTGAGTTAGCTGTGGTAATAGTTAGCTGGTGAGTTAGCTGTGGTAATAGTTAGCTGGTGAGTTAGCTGTTGTAATAGTTAAAGAGTTGGCTGTGGTATAGTAATATAGTATAATAGTTAGCTAGGCAGTTAGCTGTTAGCTTAGCTGGGCAGCCTTAAAGGAAATTGAAGGTCATTAAAGGCAGGTCCAGAGCTTTTAACACATTTAGAGCACATAAAGGGTCATTTTAGGGGTACTGAGGGCAGTTAGTGGGGCAATAAGGGCAGTTAGAAGGGAAATGAGGACATTTGGAAGGGGCACTGAGAAGAGTTGGAAAGATGAAGGGCAGTTATAGGGACATTAAGGGAAGTTGAAAGGAACAGATGACACTTGGAGAGGCATTAAGGGCAGTTAGAAGGCACTGATGACAGTTGGAGGGCACTGATGGCAGTTCGACGGGCATTAAGGGCAGTTGGGGTGGCACTGGGAACAGTTGGAGGGGCACTGATAGCAGTTGGGGGGCACTGGGAACAGTTGGAGGGGCATTGAGAGCAGTTGGAGGGGCACTAATGATAGTTGGGAGTGCATTAAGGGCAGTTGGTGGACATTAAGGGCAGTTAGAGGGCATAGATGGCAGCTGAAGTGACACTAATGGAAGTTAAAGTGCATTATAGGCAGTTAGAGGGCTCTAATGACAGTTGGAGGGCATTATGGTAGTTCAAAGGCACTGATGGGAATTGAAGGGGCATTGATGGCAGTTGGAGGGGCATTGAGGGCTGTTTGAGGGCAGTGGTTGGTAACTCTCACCCTCAGGCCGGAGGCAGGGCTTACTCAGGGCCTGCTGGGGTGCCACGTTTAGCGGGCAGTTGGTGGGTTGCCAGATTAAACTAATGCTTAAATTAGCTGTGTGTGGAAACAACAGGTGGAGAACAAACCAACAAAAAAACAAACAAACAAAAACAAGACGTCCCTGAGATCTAAACAAGAAACGGCCACAAACAGACCAAGAAAGCAAGGGATGGATTAACAGATGCTAGTGGAGAAGAGAGGGATTAGTAGACAATAAAGAGAAGAAGAAAGTGAAGAAGCACTAAAAAAGACAGATGGGCAAACAGACAGACAGACAGAAAGATGGATATACAGGTAAACAGAGGGTAAGACCAATAAAGAAAAAGACAGACAGACAAACAAACTGGATCATACCTTTCACGTCCTCCTCCTCTATTGTAGTGTTGGCGCTCTCTGTTGATTCCTGAGAAAAAGAACAGAAAGAAACAGAAACAGATCAGCTACAAATGTTTACAGTGCTTCTTCTGAGAAGGTTCCGCCAGATTAGCCCACCAGCAGCACGGTCCGCAGGGTCTGTTAGGGTCCGTAAATGAATAAATCTCACCTTGTTCCTCTCTACAGGGTTATGAATGACTGTAGTCTGAGGCTCCTAAAAACAAAAAGAGAGAGAATTACAGAAAAAAAAATACTGAACATATTACACTAACAACTATACCGTATGCTAACATCCACACTACACACTAACATCTACTTATACAATAAAATTATAAAGATTTGCTGAAAATGGTCTCCTTCACTCTTTAACAAAAATTCTTACACAAACACATTGTTCAGGATCATGCAGACAAACACTCCATTAATAGTGAAACCACAATTATAGCTCCATAATTATTGTTGCCTTGATGAAGTTGTACAAAAAATTCCTGAGAAAATATTTTCATGGTAAGTTAGCTCCATCACATTGAAGACAGGAGTAATCTAACCTTTAATTTAATTAGATTTAGTTGCCAGACAGCGTGAGGTTCTTTCCAGATCTGATTGATTCTTTCAGCCCGTTTGACTGAGGGTGGAAACCTGATGACAGGCTGACAGAGGCCCCCAGGAGCTTACAGAAGGCTTTCCAAAAGCAGCTCACAAACTGGGGGCTACTATCAGACACAAGATTCTGTGGCAGACCATGTATTCTCACTATGTGCTGCAAGAGCAGCGTAGCAGATTTCTTGGCTGATGGGAGTTTTAGCAGTGGGATGAAGTGGAATGCTTAGGAGAACAGGTCCAGGGACAGGTGTGACCAAGGATGAGAGGGAACTGGGAGAGGGTGGAGCAAGTCTGCTGGACAGATTTTTTTAGTTTCTTATTCTTGGCGCACACCTGGCAAGCTGCCACATATTACCTCGTATCATGATCAATACTGGGCCACCAAAATCACTCTATGGTTCTGGTCACCCCGGATGGCTAGTTAACCGTGATCCATGCCCCCATTGCAGCACCTTAGAACACTGTCTTTCTTTTCAACAAAGAAGAATCCGGTCCCGGTCAGAGAAGAGGAAGGCTGTATGAAGCCTGATGCCAGAGCTTCCTGCATATAGCCCTCCATGGCAGTTTGCTCAGGGCCTGAGAGGGAGAACTGTCTGCCACGGAGAGGACAAGCGCCTGGCAAGAGACTGATGGCACAATTGTTAGATCTATGGGGGGCAGGGTCTCTGCCTTTTTCTTACTAAAAACCTCTCGAAGATCCAGGTATTTGGGGGGTACTTGGGAGGTACCAGGAATCTCAAGAGAGTCTTCCGGTAATGGAAAAGTGATTTTAGACTCCCTGATGCAAAAACTTGAACACTGGGGTCCCCGTGACTGATCATGCCAACCAACTGAGGGGAACCCTAGGATGAGTTGCACTCCTGGCGACGGAATAAGGAGTAGGGAATTGAATTCAGTGTGAGGACCGATTTTCAAGGTCAGAGGGAGGGTCTGTTGGGTCACAGTCACTGACCCCAGAGACCATCCATCAATAGCAGAAACTGAGGATGTTCTAGTGTCTCAAGGGGTAAGCTGAGAGTGGCTTCCAGAGATCAATCAATAAATTTGTGCCGAAGTCCAGAAACACTGTGACTGATTTCTGCACGTTTCCAGGAAACAGTGACAGTAAGATAAAACCCAGAGAGAATGGACTCGGGAAAAGTATGGGCCCATCACAGCTCTCCCCTCCTGGGGCGGGCCCTGGTATTTACCGACAGCTGAGGACACAAAACTATGAATGTGACCTGGACTCCCACAGTACAGACACCTCCTCTCGCTCATACGAGCATCTCACTCTTGTTGAGCAAGGCAGGTGCTCCCTAATTGCATAGGCTCTTTTGGGAGTTCAGAGGGCTTTCTAACTGGGGAGACAGGCGGTTCAGGTTGAATAGAGAGCCCAGGAGAAGGTCTGACCTGAGAAGCCCTGCATTCTCCACGTCTTTCTCGCAGGCATTTATCAAGATTAAGGGTAAGCTCATACAAGTCCTCAAGAGATGTGGGTGAGTCTCGGGTTGCAGGTTTATCCTTCAGTTGTTACCATGTTGGTAATTAGCCATGAGAGCCTCAGGGTCCCAGCCGCTTTCAGCTGCCAGCATCCGGAACTTAATGGCATGCAGAGCGATTGCCCTGCCGAATGTGGAAAAGGTGAATGGCTTGCTCTCTACCCCCAACTGGATTATCATACGTGCTACTGCCTTCATGAATTGGTTTACAGTAGAGCATTCAGCAGATGCTCCCAGACTGAGGTGGCCATGGCAATTACCCTTGCTGTAAGGAGGGAAATTATGTAGGCCACCTTGGCACATTCAGAAGGGAAGTGAGACGGTTGTTGTCCAAAGGCAAAAGAGCACTGCAGGAGGAAACCACGGCATTGTCCAGGTTCACCGATCATAACATTCAGGGGATGGGAGATCAGGCTCAGAATTACTGACAGTACAGACGCTGCCTGGGGTAAGGGATCACTCCCCAAATCCTCATCTGGTTGATAAGGCTGAGTAGTGGGCTGTGTGAGTTTGACTACTCTTTGTAACTAGACTGAGACTGAAGCTGTGACACAATTTGTCACAGATGTGACAGAATTTCTTGCAGCACATGTTCATGTCTACCAATTGCAGTACGCTGGCTAATAAAGGCTGTTCTTAACTGGTCTTGCTCTGCTGGGTCCATTTTAGATGACTCAGTCAAGCTGGGCTCCCGCCACTGGCAGACTGAGATTGACCTGTCACCTGTAAAGGGAGCCCAAGAGACTAACTTTACATCAATTTAGATTTTTTGTTTCATATTTTTAGTGTGAGACTGAGCTGATTTGAGCACAAAGACATTTTCTACCCATCTTTACCAAGGGGACGAATAATTATGGAGTGGACTGTATATACACTAGGGCTGCGTGATACAGACAAAATACCAGCATTGTGATTCCATTGCTGTATACTGTGATTGCGATAAATGTAAATGTATCACAATGGTGGATCAATAATGTGACGTGGTTAAAGATTAGCCTGCTTCAGTTTGTTTAAAATTATTTACGTTAAATTTTTTTGGAGGCTAATTTACATGTTGCAGCCTTCTGTCGCCTTCTGTCAATATTGCAAAGGCCAATATAGTATTAATGATTATTAAGTCCTAATATACACATACATATCACAGATGTGCAGAATCTGGGTTTCGGACTCAGAGATTAAACGGTACAGAAACGTACAAGGTTTATAACAGCGAAACACAGAGTAGCTTCATATCTTTTTTATAAAAGGTACACTATCCTAAGACTTTCCTTTGAATGTAGAACCCAGACACAACTGTACAACTGATAAAACAATGGCTAATTTGTTAATTTAATTATTAGAATAATCCGAACTCTTGATAAGTTATCTGTGGTAACAGTGAGTTAGCTGTGGTAATAGGGAGTTACATCTGGTAATATGGAGGTAACTGTGGTAATTGTGAGTTAACTGTAGTGAGTTAGCTGTGGTAATAGCAAGTTAGCTGTGGTAATAGTGAGTTAGTTGTGGGAACAGTGAGTTAACTGTAGTAATAGCTAATTAGCTCTGATAATAGTAAGTAGCTATGGTAACAGGGAGTTAACTGTGGTAATAGTAAGTTAGCTGAGGTAACAGGGAGTTAACTGTGGTAATAGTAAGTTAGCTGAGGTAACAGGGAGTTAACTGTGGTAATAGAGATTTAGTTGTGGTAATAGTGAGTTAACTGTAGTAATAGCGAGTTAGTAAGCTGTTCCAATAACTTCTAAGTCTTTAAGAGACGCCAGTTAACTCATTAGATTGGAAAATAGGATAAAACAAAACAATAAAAATGATTTCACTCGTTGAACATTGAGTAAAGGGTAAGATTAATCACTGAGCTGAAAGAATAATCTTCTTTTCTATTTACGTAACAGAGCGAAAAGTTTTTATTATAAGATTTTATTTGAACTCAATTCAAAATACTTAAATCTATGATAGAGCCAGGTTTTAATATACTTACAATTAGAATAAAAATATATTTCTTAGTGTACCTTTTATTACTGAAGAGATAAATAAGAATGTATATCTTTAAATCACTAAAGCTTTTAATGTTTCTGTCCGACAGAAAAGACACCACACACAGTATTGGTGGAAAGGCCATGCAGGGGGCGGGGTCAGGGGTTTGTCGCTGTGGATACCAGTGCTGGGGCGGGGCCTGTGTCTTTGGGGCTGCTGGCTATGTTGGTTTTGTTGTTGACCTGTAGGGGGCGTGAGGAGGAAATCAGATATTAACAAAACACATGGCAGGAACAGAGCACAAAAAAACGGACAGTGAATGGTGGAGCTAAACTGCTGTAACTGAAAGGTGGAGCTAAACTGCTGTAGACTGAATGGGTGGAGCTAACTGCTGTAACTGAATGGGTGGAGCTAAACTGCTGTAGGATGAATGGGTGGAGCTAAACTGCTGCAGGCTGAATGGGTGGAGCTAAACTGCTGTAGCTGAATGGTGGAGCTAAACTGCTTTAGGCTGAATGGTGGAGCTAAACTGCTGTAGGATGAATGGGTGGAGCTAAACTGCTGCAGGCTGAATGGGTGGAGCTAAACTGCTGTAGCTGAATGGTGGGGCTAAACTGCTGTAGCTGAATGGTGGCGCTAAACTGCTGTAGCTGAATGGTGGAGCTAAACTGCTGTAGACTGAATGGGCTGAGCTAAACTGCTGTAGGCTGAATGGTGGAGCTAAACTGCTGTAGACTGAATGGGCTGAGCTAAACTGCTGTAGGCTGAATGGTGGAGCTAAACTGCTGTAGACTGAATGGGCTGAGCTAAACGGCTCTAGACTGAATCAGAGGGGCTAACTTGCTGTAGGCTGAATGGGAGTGGCTAAAGTGCTGTAGACTGAATGGGCTGGGCTGAACTGCTGTAGACTGAATGGTGAAGCTAAACTGCTGTAGGTTTTTGTGACATCACAAACATGAGCCTTTTAAGTGTGAGACCGTCCTCACTTTGTAGACTGTTTAGTGTATGCCCTGTCCTTTATGCCATGATCTCCGTTTCTCTGTGTTTATTAGAGTGAGAATCTGTGAAGCGTCTCTCTTCCTTTCTTTAACTTTATAAAGAACAGAAACAACACAGAAGAGAACTAAACTGATAAAATGAGAAGGAGGCTGGAAGTGGCTGGCATTCCAGTCACTGCACAAACATACAGCACACATACAGTACAATAACAAAGCTTGAAAACTGGAGCTGATTTAAAGCCTGTATTTCACTCACATTAGCATTTTAGTAACGGACACATGTCCGTTTATACAACTGTAACACTCCTTAATACAGTTCACTTCTAATATACTGCAGTTAATGGCACTTTCCATGAACAGAGTTCAGTTTATTATCTTTTTAAAAGCGATAAAGTGGCTGTTGTTGTTTGTATTTTATTTCTGTAAAAAATGAGTGGATCTGTATTTCAACCTAAAATAAACGTATTGTTTATTTACTAACATTTTAATTTAACAAAAACAGTCATTTTAACCTGTGTCCCGCAGCCCTGCTGTCCAAACCTGCTCCCCTCTTGTAAAAATGGAACATTCCATTTATTATGATATAAACAGGAAGCTGTAGTTTTCTGCAGGATGACCATCACACAGGTCAGTGTTCTCATTCTGTTTTCTCATTTTACTCACAAAACACTGATTTTGCTGCTTGTTCGACCCTGTTGACAAAATTACTGTTAAAAAATAGACAAATTCACATTTACATATTTATTTATTTTATCATGTATTTTTATATCATTTATGTAAATTGTGTGATTATTAGTAGTTAGCATGCAGCATGTGCAGCCTGTCGAGCTAATCGCTCCTTAATGTTATTTTAGGCTAAATTCACAAACCTGTTATCCATTTTTTAAATCTTGAATTATTTTTAAATAAAAATGAAATGAAAGTTGCTTGAAAAAAAAAAAATCATGAAAAGTTTTTTCTTCTGCTCAGTGTTAAATACTTATTACTGCATTAATTCAACCCTGTTAGCCAGAATTCAAAATTGGTACCCAGAATTCAACCCTTTATCCAGAATTCAACTCCATTTCCCAGAATTCAACCGTTACCCAGAATTCAACCCTGTTAACCAGAATTTAACACTCTTACCCAGAAATTAACAATGTTATCCAGAATTCAATCCTGTTACCCAGAATTCAACCTTGTTACCCAGAATTCAACCCTGTTACCCAGAATTCAACCTTGTTGCCCAGAATTCAACACTGTTATTCAGTCATTTATGGTGAAAATTGTCTTTAAAGGTATAATTTTGCAGTTCGAAAAGCATTTCATGAAAATATCTGTATTTCTTGCTATGAAATAACGAATTTAGCTGATTCAGGGTTTTAAAAGCTCTTTATAACTGACACCTCCCTAAAAACGGTTACAGGGCTACGAAAAATGCTGAATATTTCAGAAAAGAAGAAGAACAGCGGATATAGACTTTGATCTGACAGCCTGAGGTGGAAATATCACTTTCTGAAAGTCGAGCTCTAACTTTGATTAACATTTTGTCAAAAATCACCAAAAAAAGTACATTTTAAAGAGTTCCCAGCGTAAAATGAGCTCTATTCAGGAAAGAGCCAGACACTGCAAGTGTTCATGGGAAATGATTTTACTGTAAAAGCTGCTGTGAGTGGACATTACTCACCTTCACTCCGTCTGACTTCTTATTCAGGTAACTCTTCGCTGCTGTGGGGCAAAAAGAAAGAAAGAAAGAAACAGATGTGAATATCAGCTCGTCAGCCTGCCAGACTGCTGTTCATGCTGCAGGCAGTTCGGTTTGTCCCTAAAAGGCTCTAAACACAAAGTTAATGCAGGTCATTTGCAGGTGAGGCCAGAAACAGACACAGCCGGAGCAGCAGTGAGTGATGTCATCGGTCACTGCAGTGGACAAATGTGTTGTTTACTTTATGAATTAAGCAGTGAGCTCACACACACAAACAACCGCAGGTATGACAGGAGACACTGACGAGCTCTGATGGGGTGGAGGGTTTCTATAGCGCCCCCTGCTGCAGCGATGTGAATTACACATTCAGCATGACACATTTGTGTTTGTGTGTGATCGTATCCATTTGTTTGCATTTGTGTGTATTTGAGTGCATTTGTGTGTGTGTGCGCGCTTGTGTTTGTGTGTTTGTATGCAACTGTGTTTGTGTGCAATTGTGTTTGTGTGTGATCGTGTTTGTGTGCGTTTGTTTATTCGTGTGATTGTGTGTTTTGTGATTATGTGTACTTGAGTGCATTTGTGTGTTTGCGTGCATTTGTGTGTATTCGTGACGAATTCTGTGCGACTGTGTGTCTTCATGTGTGTGTTTGTGTTTGATTGTGTGCATTTGTGTTTTTGTGTGTTTCTATGTGATTCTGTGCTTATGTGTATTTGTGTGTGTTGGGGTGCATTTGTGTGCGTTTATGTGAGTGTTTGGTGTTTGAGTGTAATTGTGTGTTTGTGTGTGTGTGCGGTGTTTGAGTGTGTCGTTTGTGTGCGTTTGTGTGTATTTGTATGCGTTGGTGTGCAACTGTGTGCGTTTGTGTGCATGTATCTGAGTGTTTGGTGTTTCAGTGCAATTGTGTGTGTTTGTGTGCGTGTGGTGTTAGTGTGTGTTTGTGTGCATTGTTTGTGTGTTTGTGTGCATTGTTTGTGTGTGTTTGTGTGCGTTGTTTGTGTGCATGTGCGGTGTTAGTGTGTGTTTGTGTGCATTGTTTGTGTGTTTGTGTGCATTGTTTGTGTGTGTTTGTGTGCGTTGTTTGTGTGCATGTGCGGTGTTAGTGTGTGTTTGTGTGCGTGTGTGGTGTTAGTGTGTGTTTGTGTGCGTGTGTGGTGTTAGTGTATGTTTATGGGCATGTGTGGTGTTAGTGTATGTTTATGTGCAGTGTTTGTGTGTGTGTGTGGTGTTAGTGTATGTTTATGTGCATGTGCGGTGTTAGTGTATGTTTATGTGCGTGTGCGGTGTTAGTGTATGTTTATGTGCGGTGTTTGTGTGTGTTTATGTGCGTGTGCGGTGTTAGTGTGTGTTTGTGTGCGTTATTCGTGTGTGTTTGTGTCCGTGTGCGGTGTTTGTGCGTGTGTGGTGTTTGTGTGCATTGTTTGTGTGTGTTTGTGTGCGTGTGCGGTGTTTGTGTTCGTGTGTGTTGTTTGTGTGTGTTTGTGTGCGTGTGCGGTGTTTGTGTTCGTGTGTGTTGTTTGTGTGTGTTTGTGTGCGTGTGCGGTGTTTGTGTTCGTGTGTGTTGTTTGTGTGTGTTTGTGTGCGTGTGCGGTGTTTGTGTGCCTGTGTGTTGTGTGTGTGTGTGCAGTGTTTGTGTGTGTTTGTGTGCATGTGCGGTGTTTGTGTGTGTTTGTGTGAGTGTGCAGTGTTTGTTTCTGGCCACAGTCGAGCTTCCGTGCAGAAACACAGTGCAGATCAAACTCAGACCAAAGTGTCAGAAAACGGTGAATTCTCCTGATCTAAAGTCTGACCGACAACCAAACACTCGCTGACCCCTCAGGAGGAGAAGAGGGGTCTCCAAGGGGAGAGACTGACCTGTGATGAAATAACAGCGCTGTTACACACCAGTGGAACAGCTAGCACAGCTAACATTAGCAACGTTCAGTTAGCAGAGTTAGCTAGCATAAGCTATTTTCAGTTTTAAACTTAGCTTGAATGAGCTGTTTTCAGTTAGCACAGTCAGTTAACATTAGCTATTCTCAATTAGCAGAGTTAGCTTGTGTTAGCTATTTGTAGTTATTAGAACTATTTAGTGGTGGGTACTTTCAGTTGGCAGCGTTAGCTAAAGTTAGCTATTTTCAGAGTTAGCTATGTTGGTTATTTTCAGATTTAGCTAGCTGTTTTTAGAGTTTGCTAGTGTTAGTTATTTTTAGTAAGCAGAGCCGCCTAGCATTAGCTATTTTCAGAGATAATTAGTGTTAACTACTTTCAGAGTTAGCTAGTGTTAGCTATTCCCCACGTTGTATATACAGTTCAGATGTAAATTTTAGCATTAAAAAAGCACTTAGATATCAGTAATTATTCATATCGACTGATGTGGAGAAATATATTAGAACGAGATTTTTGCCTTATTGCTCAGTCCCAGTCAATATTCTCTTGAGGAGATGGAGATTATGGCTGTACAATAAATCGTATTTTATTATTATCATGAAATGAGTTTCCATGATAAACACATCGTTAGAGCTGCAATGACAGATCAACATCAGAGAGACGTTATTACATCACAGCACAAACCGTTAGAGGCCTAATGAGCTTCTCTGAGCTGGAACTGAGCTCTGCTCTGACACACTGGAGACAAGTGACTTAACCACTAGGCTAAAGAGCCAAATTACACCCAGCAGTTCAGACTCTCCTCCGTCCTGAACTACACACCTGTAACACACATGCAATGTTGTGTTTAAGTGTGTGAGGCAGTAATGAGTACTGTCACAACATATTTAGTAACTAAACAAAAATAAATAAAAATATTTATATTATTGTTATTATTTTTGTATGTTAATTGTTTCAGCCTTTCAGTGCACAGAAAAGTGCTCTCAGTTCTGATGTAGCAGCTGTTTGTGTTTCTTTTTATTTTGCACAATAGTGAACGGTGCTTTTATATTATTCTGTATGCCAATCAGGCATATCGTTATGACCACCTCTTTGTTTCTACGCTCATTGTCCATTTTATCAGCTCCACTTACTATATAGGTGCACTTTGTAGTTCTACAGTTACAGACTGTAGTCCATCTGTTTCTCTGATACTTTGTTAGCCCCCTTTTACCCTGTTCTTGGTCAGGACCCCCATGGACCCTCACAGAGCAGGTACTATTTGGGTGGTGGATCATTCTCAGCTGCTGGAGTTTTTAAACACCTCAGTGTCACTGCTGGACTGAGAATAGTCCACCAACCAAAAATATCCAGCCAACAGCGTCCTGTGGGCAGCGTCCTGTGACCACTGATGAAGGACTAGAGGATGACCAACACAAACTGTGCAGCAGCAGATGAGCTATCGTCTCTGACTTTACATCTACAAGGTGGACTGACGAGGTAAGAGTGTCTAATAGAGTGGACAGTGAGTGGACACAGTGTTTTAAAACTTCAGCAGCACTGCTGTGTCTGATCCACTCACACCAGTGCAACACACACTAACACACCACCACCACGTCAGTGTTACTGCAGTGCTGAGAATGATCCACCACCCAAATAGTACCTGCTCTGTGAGGGTCCATGGGGGTCCTGACCACTGAAGAACAGGGTAAAAGGGGGCTAACAAAGTATCAGAGAAACAGATGGACTACAGTCTGTAACTGTAGAACTACAAAGTGCACCTATATAGTAAGTGGAGCTGATAAAATGGACAATGAGCGTAGAAACAAGGAGGTGGTCATAATGTTATGCCTGATCGGTGTATTTTGCTATTTGCTTTATGTTTACACATTCAAAAAACATCTGTACTCGTGTCAGCTCTACCAAATGTCGTGATTTATGTCCGATTGTCCAGTTCTAACAGAGATCCTGATAGAACATCTCCTGATCCTGCAGGTTCCACAGAACTTTTACACACTAACACGACGCACAGTTTCCTCGTTACGCTTCATCATCACACATAACTGTTCATGTAAAACAATGAAGTCGAGCAGAATAAAGATTCAGGAGAGACACAGAGGATCGATCAGACTTTTCTGAAGAATTACATTCATAAAGTTCAGCTCAGTGATTAAAGGTTATATTTAGATCACCGCTGTGTGAAGGACTGAGGGGAAAAGCCTCTTTGTGAATGTAATTCTTCTCTCATGCACATGAGGGCGCTCACTGAGCAAACAAACAGGCGGAGCGTCTGATTGGTCAGACAGTAACAACGACCTCTCACGTCCAATCAGGATCTTACCTCCAGAGACACATCACACCCAGAAAAGGAGAGAAAGAAATGATCAATAGAAAAAAAGGAATAAAAGTACAATCTGACTGCTTTACTGAGCAAAACACACAAAAACATGAATAAAACACAAAGAAACATAAAAAAACAACAAATAATCTAATCAAATACAAAAAACAACCATAAGAAACGGATTAAACAAACAGCTAAATTCAATAAAGAAGCTCCGTCTCAAATACAGAACAATCACAGAGATTTATTTCTCCTTCTGTTCACAGCAGCTCTGTCTCAAAACAGTGATTTAGTTTCTCTGAGTACTGAGTTAAATGAATGACTTGGCAATAGTGACTTTTGCTGAACTCTTTTTTTTAAATTTAATAACTTTTCATTCAACATAGGATCTAAAAATCTCAAGAAAATGAGTGAATGTTTTGAGATGAGAGAACATCTTGAGAAAATAACTGAACATTATGAGAAAATGAGTGAATGTTATGAGAAAATTAATGAACATTATGAGAAAGTGAGTGAATATTTTGAGAAAATGGATGAACATCTTGAGATGAGTGAAACTTTTGAGATGAGTGAGTATTTTGAGAAAATGTTTGAATATTTTGAAAAAAATAGTGAATATTTAAAAAAATGTTTAAAATATTTTGAGAAAAATTTTGAATATTTAAAGAAAAAGTTTAAAATATTTTGAGAAAATGTTTTAAATATTTTGAGAAAATGAGTGAATCTTTGAGAAAATGAGAGAATATGTTGAGACTGCTGTCAGAAAGTGAAATGTGGAGTGTGGATGAACAAACCTGCAGGAATGATTAAGGTTAAAACTGACACTCGGCGTGAAAGAGGAAAAGACGTACCTGAAAAGTTTCTGGTGACCAGTAGAGTGGTCAGAATGGCACCCTGAGAGAAAACAGTGTGAAGAAAAAGAGGAAGAACAGAAGAAGGAAAAGAACAGAGAAAGAACACAAGATGAACGAGAAAGAAGTAAAGTTCTGCTGATGGAGCGCTGAACTCCAGAGGAAGAGGAGGAAGACAAGTGGAAGAGATGGGGGAAGGTTAGATGAAGGGAAAGAAAGGAAGAGAGAGAGAGATAGAGAGAGAGAGAGAGAGAGAGAATGTTACCTTTAACTTCCTCCTGGCGTTAAATTTCTTCAGACACTCCACTGTTTCCTGTCTGTGCATCATAGATGCCACGGTGGAGCGTTGCTGAGAGAGAGAGAGAGAGAGAGAGAGAGAGAGAGAGAGAGAGAGAGAGAGAGAGATGATGTGTCATCATCATATTTCTGGGTGAAATGTTTGTTTACTGCATTCGGGCATTTAAACCAGTGTGTGTGTGTATGAGTGGGTGTGAGTGGGTGTGTGCGAGTGTGTGTGTGTGTGTGTATGAGTGTGAGTGTGTGTACATACACAGATCCAGGGGTGTTTGAGAGCCTCGGCGGCAGTGATGCGTTTGGACGGGTTGATGGTCAACATTTTATTAATCAGATCTTTGGCTTCAGGAGTCACTGTGTCCCACTCCGGAGACGGAAACTAAACAAACAAACAACAACATAATCACAGAGTCAATCACTCAATCAATCAGCCAGTCAATCACAGAGTCAATCACTCAATCAATCAACTAGTCAATCACAGAGTCAATCAAACAAATAATCAGCCTGTCAATCACAGAGTCAATCACTCAAGCAATCAACCAGTCAATAAAACACAGAATCAGGAGTCACTGTGTCCCACTCTGAAGACAGAAACTAAACAAACAAACAACAACATAATCACAGAGTCAATCACACCATCAATCAGCCAGTTAATCACAGAGTCAATCACACCATCAATCAGCCAGTTAATCACAGAGTCAATCACTCAATCTATCAGCCAGTCAATCACAGAGTCAATCACACCATCAATCAGCCAGTCAATCAGAGTCAATCACACAATCAATCAGCCAGTCAATCACAAAGTCAGTCACAGAGTCAATCAGCCTGTCAATCACAGAGTCAATCACACCATCAATTAGCCTGTCAATCACAGTCAATCACAACATCAATTAGCCTGTCAATCACAGAGTCCATCACACAAGCAATCAACCAGTCAATCAAACAAACACAGAATCAGGAGAACCAACCACCAAAGTCAAACTATCAATCACCAACCAGTTAATGTACAAACCAGTCAAACTACTAATCACAATGCAGTCAAACCACCACACAGTCAAACTACCAATCACATGCAGTTAAACTACCAGTCCAACTACCTATCACCACAGTCAAACCAATCATCACAAAGCCAAACTACCAATCACCATGCAGTCGAACTACCAATTAGTCAAACTACCAATCACCAATGAGTTAATGTACAAAGCAGTCAAACTACTAATCATCATGCAGTCAAACTACCAATCACCATGCAGTCAAACTACCAATTAGTCAAACTACCAATCACCACACAGTCAAACTACCAATCACTATGCCATCAAATTACTAGTCAAACTACCACTCACTACACAGTCGAACCTTTCCATGGCAAACTACCAATCAGTCAAACTACCAAACACGGCACAGTCAAACTGCCAATCAAACCGCCAGTCAAACTACCAGTAACGACACAGTTAAACTACCAATCAGTCAAACTACCAATAACCACTCAGTCAAACTACCAATCACCATGCAAATTACTAGACAAACTACCAATCACCACACAGTCAAACCTTTCCATCAGTTAAACTACCAATCACCACACAGTCAAACTACCAGTCAAACTACTTTTCCATCAGTTAAACTACCAATCTCCGCACACCCAAACTACCAACCAGTCAAACCACCAATCAGTCAAGCTACCAATAACCAGAGTCAAACTACCAATTAGTCAAACTACTAATCACCACACAGTCAAACTGCCAATCAGTTACACTACCAATCACCACATACCAAACACCACTACCAACGACGACAGTCAAGCTACCAATTAATCAAACCTACAATTAATCATACTGCCAATCTGCCAATTTGTGAGTGAATCAGTTTGGTTGTTTGACCTACTGAGAGTCTGAGTACAGCTATCACAGCACATCATCACAGCACATCATCACAGCACATCATCACAGCATATCATCATAGCACATCATCACAGCACATCATCACAGCACATCATCACAGCATATCAGACTAACTGCAGCTGATCACGGATCTGCTAACAAACGTGCTCATATGGATGAGAGCAGGCATTCGTCACTTCTCTGTCATCCGAACAATCCGGTCAAATTGCCAGGGCCAAATTGGAAATACTAGTAACACCGAAATTTGCATGTACCACCGGTCAAATTAGAGGGGCTGCTTTCACCCAAAAAGGGGCGGGGCCATTACGCAAGGGCAGAGTGCCCAGATGTGCTGCTCTCATCCATTCTGTGTCCTGTAGAGAAGCTGCTGAGCTGCAGTGTGACTGTGTTTATACGCACGTCGTACGCGCCAGCCTTGATCTGCTGATACAGACGATGCTGATCTTCATCCCAGAACGGAGGATACCCCACCAGCAGGATGTACAGGATGACCCCTACAGAACACACACACACACACACACACACACACACACACACACACACACATACACACACAACAGTGACTGTAAACACACTGAAAAGCTATGTGTGTACGTGTGCATGTTAGTGATATATGTGGGTGTGTGTGTGTGTATATTAGTGATATGTGTGTGTGTGTGTGTGTGTGTGTGTGTGAGTAATGCGTGTGTGATGTGTGTGTGTGTTAGTGGTTGTGTGTGTAGTGTGTATTAATGATGTGTGTTAGTGAGGTGTGTGTTGGTGATGTGTGTTATTGATGTGTGTGTTTGTGTGTGTGGTGTGTGTGTTAGTGATTTGTGTGTATTATGTGTAAATGGTGTGTTAGTGTTTGTGTGTGTTTGGTATGTGCTAGTGATGTGCGTGTGTGTGTGTTAGTGATGAGTGTGTGTTAGTGATGTGTGTGTGGTGTGCTACTGATGTGTGTGTGTTAGCAATGTGTGTGGTGTGTGTGTTAGTGATGAGTGTGTGTTAGTGATGTGTGTGTGGTGTGCTACTGATGTGTGTGTGTTAGCAATGTGTGTGGTGTGTGTGTGTTAGTGATGAGTGTGTGTTAGTGATGTGTGTGTGTGTGTTAGTGATGTGTGTGGTGTGTGTGTTAGTAATTTTGTGTGTGTGTTAGTGATATGTGTGTGTGGTGTGTTAGTGATGAGTGTGTGTTAGTGATGTGTGTGTGTGTGTTAGTGATGTGTGTGGTGTGTGTGTTAGTGATTTTGTGTGTGTGTTAGTGATATGTGTGTGTGGTGTGTTAGTGATGAGTGCGTGTTAGTGATGTGTGTGTGTGTGTTAGTGATGTGTGTGTGTGTTAGTGATTTTGTGTGTGTTGATGTGTGAGAGGTGTATGTGTGTGTGTTAGCAATGTGTGTGGTGTGTGTGTTGGCAATGTGTGTGGTGTGTGTGTCAGTGATGCGTGTGTGTGTGTTAGTGATTGTACGTGTTAGTGATTGTGTGTGTGTGTGTGTGTATATATATAGTGTCAAAATTAGCATGGCGATAGCACAATAAATCAATAAATAAACATGTGACATTCATATATTTATTTATTGGTTATTTTATATAAACAATATACATTCTCATTGACTGTATATTTGATATATATGATTTGCATTTGAATGTATATAAGGTATATAATATATATGCTTATATATGCTTAATATATGTAATTTTACAGTCAATATAATATAATATATATATATATATGTGTGTGTGTGTGTGTGTGTGTTTAAGCCTGAAGGAGGTGCTGCAGCATTCACTCACCGCAGGCCCACATATCCACCGGTTTTCCATACGGATCTTTCCGCAGCACCTCCGGAGATAAATATCCAGGGGTTCCAGCAAAGCCTGAACAGACATTAACACAAACACTCAGTACGGCTCAAACTATGAAATGGTTTTTCATTAAGTGGATTTTCCAATTTTCCTTTTAATTACTAACAGGTGTTTGATAAACATTAGTATACAGTACCAAACAATAATGTCAGGTAAAGAGAAATGTAAGAGTAGGAGAGTTTATAGCTCTTACCGAACCAGGCCTGCTGCTCCCCCTGAACCTCTATGGCCAAACCGAAATCGGCCAGCTTCACCGCTGCCCCCTTCAGCTTACTCGCTAACAGCAGATTCTCTGGCTACAGACACACACACAGACGTCAGGAGAGAGATCTGCTAGAGCTGCTCTAGAGCTAACACAAGAGCTAACACAAGAGCTAACACAAGCGCTAACAGAAGAGCTTACACACTAGCCCTAACACTAGAGTTAACACTAGAGCTAATACTAGAGCTAACACTCGAACTAGCAAGCTAACACGAGCTAACACTAGAGTTTACACTACCCTGAGAGCAAGAGGATAGTGGACCAATGTCAGCCCACTGATGGCAAAGCTGGTGGTCCACTGGCGTTTTGCTCAGCATTTTCCAGGCTGCCCACTGGTAATTAAGCAGAGTAATAGGCAAAATTCCACTTATCACTGCTCATTTTCCACTCACAGTCCAATTTACTGATTTTTCCTACCTTGCTTTTCTTAGTTATACACTGTAAAAAAGTTCAGTGTCAGCAACGTTTTCTATAAAATCATTTTATATCAGGCCTAGTCATTATTTTTTTTCTCTCAGCTGTTTGTAATATTTATAAGTCTTTTATTTTGTTTATTTTCTAAAATAAAAGTCTGTGTGCATTTAAAATCTGTTTGAGGAGATCAAAAACTATGTACAGCTTGTATGGAGGACAGTTATCTGGGTGGTCTGAGGGTGGACCTAACACCAGAGCTAGCACTTGGTGCTAACACTAGAGCTAACATTAGAGCTAACACGAGCTAACACCAGAGTTAGAGCTAGCACTTACATTGGTGCTAACCCTAAAGCTAACACACTAGCTCTAACACTAGAGCTAACACTAGAGCTAACACTTGGTGCTAACGCTAGAGCTAACATCAGAGCTAACACAAGCTAACACCAGAGTTAGAGCCAGCACTTACACTGGTGCTAACCCTAAAGCTAACACTTACGCTAGCTCTAACACTAGAGTTAACACTAGAGCTAACATTAGAGCTAGAACTTGGTGCTAACACTAGAGCTAACATTAAAGCTAACACGAGCTAACACCAGAGTTAGAGTTAGAGCTAGCTCTTACATTGGCACTAATACTAGAACTACTCTAGAGCTAACATTTACACTAGCTCTAACACTAGAGCTAATGCTAGAGCTAACACTAGAGCTTGCACTTATACTGGTGCTAACGCTAGAGCTAACACTACAGCTAACTACAGCTCTAGAGCTACTCTAGAGCTAACAGTACTAACAGTACAGTGTCACAAACTGAGCTAACTGGTGCAGACACACTGCATCACTACAGGCTAACTGCGCTATCGGAGGCCAAAGGGCGAGTCTGAGTCTCCTGACCTTCAGATCTCTGTGGACGATCCCGTTAACATGGCAGTGATGAACACTCTCCAGAATCTGCTGAATACAGTGACTAAGACGGAGAGAGAGAGAGAGAGAGAGAGAGAGAGAGAGAGAGAGAGAGTATGATGAATACTAAAATGAAAGGAGCGGTATAAGCTCAGGTTAATCTCTTTTAAAGTTGGGGGGCTTAAAGAGACCCTATTTTTGGAACCCCCCGGGTAAAACTTTATTTATTTATTTATTATTTATTTAAGTACAAGTTAGTGGATCCTGTTTCTCCATGTTTATGTATAAATATACATACTTCATTAAATGAATAAATTAAATAAATGATAAATAAGCATGAACAGATTTTAGCAGGACCCCCTGTTTACCTGGCGTCAGCCTCGCTGTAGTACTCTCTGGCTACTATATCTTCGAACAGCTCTCCTCCTGTAACCCTGGGGTCAAAGGTCAAGTCATACCGATCAACACACCAATAATCAAAATCAATACACCAGATTATGAATGAACAAATAACAAGTTTATTTATAGAACATGTTTCATTAAAGGTCAAGAGCTTAAGCATTAATAAAATAAAGTGTAGCAAGGCTGTAGCTATGGGATTCCAGTTGGTTGCTAAGGTGTTCCTAGGCAATTGCTATTTTATCCTGGGTAGTTGCTAAGGTGTTGCTAGGCCATGGTTATGTTACCCTGGGAGGTTGCTAAAGTGTTGCTAGGCCATTGCTCTGGGCCCCCTGGAGGTTCCTAAGGTGTTGCCTGGCCATTGCTGTGGTATTCCACGTAGTTGCTAGGGTGTTGCTAGGCCATTGCTATTGTATCCCAGGTAGTTGCTAAGGTGTTGATAGGCCACAGCCATGGTATGGTGGTTGTTATTATGTGCATATATATATATATATATATATATATATGTGTGTGTGTGTGTGTGTGTGTGTGCAGATACATATGTGCATATGTATTCTTGTAAAGGTGGTCCGATCCTGCCAGGTTTTGTGGTTCTAACTGTAGAACCCACCACCAGTGAAACAGTACAAATTAAGCACAGAATAATAAAATGAAGAACAGTTACCTGGCTTTGAACTGCTGCTGTTTGTAATACTTACAAATCAAACACCAGGTAGTGGAAACCCTCCTCTGAAATGCTGTCATGGAGCCGAACTGCCACAAAACAAAAAAGAAAAAAGAATTCAGTATTGTGGTGTTTGAGGAGAGGATTCATACTGATATTGGGGTGTTTGAGGAGAGGATTCATACTGATATAGGGGTGTTTGAGGAGATAATTCATACTGATATAGGGGTGCTTGAGCAAGTGATTCATCCCTATTTTGAGATGTTTGAGGAGAGAATTTAAACCGATATTGGGTTGTTCGAGGAGGTAATTCATATACATTTTGGGGTGTTTAAGGAGAGAATACATACCGATATTGGGGTGTTTGAGGAGAGAACTCATACTGAAATTAGGGTGATTGAGGAGGTAATTCATATCAATTTTGAGGTGTTTAAGAAGACAATTCACACTGAAATTGGGGTGTTTGAGGAGGTAATTCACACTGATATTGGGGTGTTTGAGGAGAGAACTCATACCAATATTGGGGTGTTTGAGGAGGTAATTTATACTGATATTGGAGTGTTTGAGGAGGTAATTCACACTGATATTGGGGTGTTTGAGGAGAGAACTCATACCAATATTGGGGTGTTTGAGGAGGTAGTTCATACCGATACTGGAGTGTTTGAGGAGGTAATTCACACTGATACTGGGGAGTTTGAGGAGAGAACTCAAACCAATATTAGGGTGTTTGAAGAGGTAATTCACACTGATATTGGGGTGTTTGAGGAGAGAACTCATATCAATATTGGGATGTTTAAGGAGATAAATTATACCAATATTGGGGTGTTTGAAGAGAGAATTCATACCGACAGTGGGGTGTTTAAGGAGAAATTTCATACTGATATTGGGCGTTTGAGGAGGTAATTCCTATCGATATTGGGGTGTTCGAGGAGAGGATTCGTACTCATATTGGGTGTTTGAGGAGAGAATTCATACCGATACTGGGGTGTTTGAGGAGAGAATTCATACCGATACTGGGATGTTTGAGGAGGTAATTCATACCGATACTGGGGTGTTTGAGGAGAGAATTCATATAGAAGTTGTTTGAGGAGGTAACTCACACTGATATTGAGGTGTTTGAGGAGAGAATTCCTACCGATATTGGGGTGTTTGAGGAGGTAATTCATACCAATACTGGGGTGTTTGAGGAGAGAATTCATATAGATGTTGTTTGAGGAGGTAACTCACACTGATATTGAGGTGTTTGAGGAGAGAATTCCTACCGATATTGGGGTGTTTGAGGAGGTAATTCATACTGATACTGGGGTGTTTGAGGAGAGAATTCATACAGATGTTGGGGTGTTTGAGGAGGTTATTCATACCAATATTGGGGTGTTTGAGGAGATAATTCATACAGATGTTGGGGTGTTTGAGGAGGTTATTCATACCAATATTGGGGTGTTTGAGGAGAGAATTCATACAGATGTTGGGGTGTTTGAGGAGAGAATTCATACAGATGTCTGGGTGTTTGAGGAGGTTATTCATACCGATATTGAGGTGTTTGAGGAGAGAACTCATACAGATGTTGGGGTGTTTGAGGAGGTTATTCATACCGATATTGAGGTGTTTGAGGAGATAATTCATACAGATGCTGGGGTGTTTGAGGAGGTTATTCATACCAATATTGGGGTGTTTGAGGAGAGAATTCATACAGATGTTGGGGTGTTTGAGAAGAGAATTCATACAGATGTCTGGGTGTTTGAGGAGGTTATTCATACCGATATTGAGGTGTTTGAGGAGAGAACTCATACAGATGTTGGGGTGTTTGAGGAGGTTATTCATACCGATATTGAGGTGTTTGAGGAGAGAACTCATACAGATGTTGGGGTGTTTAAGGAGGTTATTCATACCGATATTGAGGTGTTTGAGGAGAGAATTCATACAGATGTTGGGGTGTTTGAGGAGGTTATTCATACCGATATTGGGGTGTTTGAGGAGTCGGCAGATTCTGGCCTCTCTCTCCAGTTTCTGGTGATCTGTGAGTGAAAGAGAAACAATAAAACTTTCATCACAGACAGTTTAAACATGTTTCAGAATTAAGTGTTTCATTCAGATTATTCAGGCTGCTTTCAGGACGGACGTAAGCTTAGTTAGTTTATCTGGACTCAACTCTACACAACTCTACACTACGTAACTCTATACTTTACACAGCTCTACACTCTACACAACTCCACACTCTACACAACTCAACACTACATACCTCTACACAACTCTACATATCTCTACAGTCTACACAACTCCACACTCTACACAACTCAAAAATGCCTATCTCTACACAACTCTACATACCTCTACACAACTCTACATATCTCTACAGTCTACACAACTCTACACAACTCCACACTCTACACAACTCAAAAATGCCTATCTCTACACAACTCTACATACCTCTACACAACTCTACATATCTCTACAGTCTACACAACTCTACACAACTCCACACTCTACACAACTCAAAAATGCCTATCTCTACACAACTCTACATACCTCTACACAACTCTACATATCTCTACAGTCTACACAACTCTACACAACTCCACACTCTACACAACTCAAAAATGCCTATCTCTACACAACTCTACATACCTCTACACAACTCTACATATCTCTACAGTCTACACAACTCTACACAACTCCACACTCTACACAACTCAAAAATGCCTATCTCTACACAACTCCACAGTCTATGCAAGTCCACACTCTACACACTTCTACACACAAATCTCTTGGTTAAAGAAATAGTTTTGTAAAAAAAAAATCTTCATCTTTACATGTAAATATTTCACATAAACAAAGTGAGTAAAATGATTCTGAATATTCTGTAAAGCAGCTGTAAGACAGCAGAGATTCAGCAGCAAACTCTAAAACTGACCCCTGACATTGACCCCGGACCCAGCATCTGTTCCTCTCCCTGCAGAACACTCTACTCAGATGAGCTGATCCACAGCATTCATTTCTCCAGTACAGCGGAAAGACGAGCTGCTCAAAGCAGAATCTCAATAAAGCACATGGATAGTATCTTTACACAGCCATTACCAACACCATGGACATCAATGCCACTGAATAATCTGGTCTGGGATCAAATGAAGTGTTGACCTGCATTATTAATAAAGTGTAGATAATATTTTATTTATAAAACGTACGTGCCATTGTAATCTTATTCTGGTAAAACCTGCTCTCAGATCAGCACAGTGGTTTTAGATAGTCTGGTTCCTCTGGTCAGTACAGAGAGTGCAGCTCCAGATCTGGGCAGTGACTCATCACCGCTCTACAGTCTGTGTGCAGGACAGCTGGCACGCTGATCTACTGAATCTATAAATAACTTCCCCCCGCACTCTCCCCTTCACTCTACTCCCCCGACTCTCCTCCGCCCAGTCTTCTCCCCACTCTCCTCATCCTGTAATCTCTCTCATAAAACATGCTGAAGTAGTAAATCTGTGCCAGTGTTCTACAGTCAGAGCGTCACTGCCTGCTTTAACGATTTCAAACACTAATGCGGCTCTGAGCACAGTAACACATACCACATCACACTCTGCATCATACACTGCAAAATACACTGCAACACACACTGCAACACACACATCATACACTGCAATACACGCCACAAAACACATGGCATCATGCACTTCAACAAGCACTGCAATACACACTACAACACACACTGCATCACACACTATGATGAACACTGCAACATACTGTAACATAAACAACGAACGCTGCAGTGCACGCTGTATCATACTACAACAAACACTGCAATACACACTGCACCATACACTACAATAAAGTGCAATACACTCTGCATCATACTCTACAATAAATTGCAATACACACTGCATCGTGCACAACAAACACTACAACAAACAAGGCAATACATACTGCATCGTACACTACAATAAACACTGCAATACACACTGCATCACACACTACAACACTGCAATACACACTGCATCATACACTACAACACCATAACATAGTGTATCGTATACTACAACAAACACTGCAACATGCTGTAACATATAACACCACAATACACACTGAATCTTACACTACAACAAACACTGCAACATACACTGAATTATACACCAACAAATACTGCAATACATACTGCATCATGCACTACAACAAACACCACAATACACACTGAATCATACACTACAACAAACACTGCAACACACACTGAATTATACACCAACAAACACCACAATACACACTGCATCACACACTACAACAAACACTGCAACACATGCTGCATCACACACTACAACGAACACCACAATACACACTGCATCCTACACTACAACAAACACTGCAACACATGCTGCATCACACACTACAACGAACACTGCAGTACATGCTGAATTATACACTACAACAAATACTGCAATGCACACTGCATCATACACTATAACAAACACCACAATACACAGTGCCGCATACACTACAACAAACACTGCAACACATGCTGCATCACACTACAACAAACACTGCAATACACGCTACATCATACACTACTACAAACACTACAACAAACACTGCAACACATGCTGCATCATACATTGCAATAACAACTGCAATACGTTTGCATTAAATACTACATACATCACTACAATACATGCTGCATTATACACTACAACACTGCAAACACACTGCATCACACACTGCAACAAACATTACAACATGCTGTATCATACACTGCAATAAACACTGCAACATACTGCATCATGCACTACAACAAACACAACACACGCTACACCATACACTGCAATAAACATTGCAACAAACGCTACAACACACACTGCATCATACATTCCAACAAACACCACAATACACTGCATCATAGACTACAACACTGCAACACAACACAGTTTACAGTAATGTTCCTTTTCTTACTGCCACAGACCTTTATAGTAAAATTATTCTCAGTCTCATCCTGGTAAACAGACTTTATCAGCTTTGAACCCGTAAACCATTAATGCTTCAGTTGTACCACCATAATCCCAAACCCAACACAGTAACCCTTCTGCTAATGCTTTAGCCTTACTGCTAATGCTTTAACTCTACTGCTAATACTGTATCTCTACTGCTAATACTTAAACCTTAGCACTTTAGCCCTACCGCTATCACTTCATACGAAATGACGACGAGTGTAAATGGTCTTTACTGCAGAACTGTAATGTAAATGTAAATGAGGTTCAGATGTGAGGGATGAAAACTGCAGAACAATCTGATCTGAGTTTAGACCGACTGACTATTTCAGCTCAGCGCCCAGTTCTGTTCACCGTAACTCCTCTCTCTCTCCTCTCTATCTCTATCTCTCTCTCTCTCTCTCTCTCTCCACAGGTATTCCACCTATCGACCGGTCAGACATCTGTTGTCTAGCAACTCCTCCTCCAATCAGATTCCTCTCCTTTCTGCAGTGGAACTGGTCCTGCATGCAGATTATACTCTCTACACTCCCAGAGCTGACTAACTAAACTTTAAAGCTATAGTTCAACCACACATCCCCCACCACCACCCCAAATGAGGTTCATCAGCCAAGACATGTTTACTATTTTAGCTTTAGCACTTAAGCTTAAATCTAACATCACACTCCAATAAAATCCCCATCAGTGATATCAACACCAAACTGCATGCACTGGCATCAAAGGAGACGCTGCAATACTGTGTTTATTTACCACTGTAAAAAAAAAAACAGAGTTCAGTTTTTATGCTAATGTTAAAGTGTTAGCATTAAATACACCACTTTATGCCTCATAGCAGTGAACAGGAGGGACCTCCTGATCGGATTGCGCTCAAGAAATACGACACAGAAATACGGCACTCAGCGGAACGAGGGTGAAGGAACCTGAAAAGATCTTCACATATACTGACATTTCTACAGACAAAGATCAGAACTGTCCAGGCTGTGTGGTTCTTTGTGGTTCTTTATGGGTGTAAAAGCTGCACAATAAACAGGCAGGACAGGAAAAGTAAAGATGCCTTTGAATTATGGCGTTGGCGAAGACTTTTGAGAGAAGCTTGGATGGCAACAACAACAAACAAATGGATCCTCAAATGAATCAAGCCTCAGCTCTGATTAGAAGCCCAGATAACCAAACTGAAGCTCTTACTTTGGACACATTCTGAGAAGAGCCGATTTGAAATGGAAAAGACCATCATGCTTGGAATAAGTGATGGCACTTAATAATAAAACAACAATGATGTTAAATAGCTACATCATAGCGTCGTGCATGCAGTGAATATCAGGTGTGCAGCAACTCAGTGTAGCGTTGTGAACCTTCACCACATCTGTACAAACTGCCGCTAAAGCAACATCATTGGAGGAGAACTCTCACTGCTAATTCTGTGATTTTAGCTACCAGTCGTCTGGCTAGCATCAGGCCAAGTGCCCATCCTACCCAGAGAGAAGACAGTTATGATCCCTTGGTTTCAGGATCTCCTAATGATAGTGCCAGAGCTCAGACGGTAGCACTACAGCAGGCAACTAACGGCAGAAACCAGTTTCCGTGATAGTTTAGTTTGGATTGTTTTGAAAGCATTTCTGCTGTAGATAAAGTGCCAAAAAAAGACACAAAGGAGCAGAACTGGATCAAACTTCAAAACGTAATTCCAAAAAAGCTGGCACAGTGATGATAAAAGCAGAAAGCAGTGATTAGTAAATTCTACTTGAGCTGTATTCAGCTGAACACAACACTTAATGTTTTACTTTACAACCTTTTTTTAAATAAACATTTATTCCAATATATAATACAAAACGTATATGATGCGGTATAGCCGATAGCAAATCAGTCTGAACAGAGAACCCTGTAAACAGCGCAGTGTACAGGCGGAGGATGAGGAAGACGATGGTGAGTGTATATAAGAGAGATTTATGAGTTAATCCTCCTCGTTCTCTCTCTCTTCTGCACTGCAGCTCAGCTCTGCTTTAACAGGAGATTAATGAGATCTGAAACAGTCAGAAAATCTCTGAGTGAGCAACCACACAGACACACACACACCCACCCATACACTACTCTTACCTCACTCTTTCTCAGCTCCACACACCACAGAAACACTACACCAAGAGGCAAATCTAAAACATTCACGCTAATAAAACCCAAAGCCTTAAACTCAAAACCCTAAACCAGTGGTCTCCAACTCTGGTCCTGAAGATCCACCTTCCTGTAGAGCCTCTTTCTAACCACTTACTCCCACACCTGCTCCAGCAAATCAACCACTATTCAGGTCCCCTTTTAGTTGGATCAGATGTATTAGAGTTCAGGAAGGGGCAAGGCAGCTTACTGGATACAGGTTGGAACTAAACTCTGCAGGAAGGTATTTCTCCAGGACCACGGTTGGAGACCACTAACCTACATCCTAGCCTCTGCAACAATTGCAAATGACCTACACCACACCTACAATCTCTGCAAGAACTGGTGACCTGCTCAGAGTACTAAAGCATCCTGGGACACTTTGGGAACCCTTTGCCCTACACGACTACAAATGGAATCCTGACCTCAAGGTTTGACCCAGGCCAGAGTACTGAAAGCTTTCTCCCTACACTACTTCAAATTGACACCGTACCTAAGGGTACCCCCACCGAGAGTGTTTAAGGGTCCTCAGGTGCTTTCTTACTACTTTACGCTGACGGATTGCTTCTGAATCACACCCACCCACTTTAGGAGGCAAGTACTCTTTTGCACGAACAATTACAGGTCTGTTTGCTCGAGCCTTAGGTACACTGTCATGGATTGCCTGGTTTTTTACAGCCTCTCCATCAGTGCAGTCGACATTGATGGTGCTATGTCCTTGTTTATTGTGCTTTTTGTATTGTTGGGGTGCTTTGCTACTCCTATAAAGCACCCTAGAGTACCAAAGTGGCCATTCTTGGCAGTGGACCAACCCTAGAGGCAACATTGGACTCACTAGTAAGAGTACAAAAGTGTCTCAAGAGTTGTAAAGTATCCAAAGGCCATAAAACCCAAGATGTAGACCAAGTTCTTAGTACGGCGAGCTCAGACCGAATGTGGGACCTGCACAGGTGAACTGGACTCGAGTCCCTCAACGTGCTTGTGGTGTTGACTTTGCATTTAACCATCAAAATGTCCTGGGAGTACCAAAGCATCTAGGGGTCATATCTCCTTGATCTTTGGGCCTAGAGTCACCAAACGTGGACATGAGGGATAGTGTCCCAGTAGTACAACAACGTTCTGTGTTTGGTCCTTGCTGGACCTTGTACGGTATGTTTTTCCCATAGGACCTCATTATGGATATGTATCTCTTTGACCTTTGGGCCTAAGGTCACCATACTATTTTTAATTTCATTAAAAATGGTCATTTCTTGTCCCCATATTTCTTGATAACCCTAAAATGAGAATAATACATTGTTGAATATTTTATCCTCTAATGTCTTTCAGCAGTCAGAGCAGGAGAAATAATTTAATCTTGCCTCTGCGGGCCAGCAGCCCAAATCCACCAGTGGTCACACACTTAGACCTAAACGGGCCAGGATAGATTGCAAAGGTTCTCTTCAGCCTCATCTCCAACTGAGGATACTGCCTTGTCTAGCTCACATAGCCCATTCTTTCCTGATTCTTCTGACCTGTCCACCGCTAGACTCTCCACCATAGGCCTCTTCACCGCTCGCCTCTCCACAGCTGACCCCTCCACCAGTGGTCTTTCCATTTCTGGCCTCTCCGCCGCTGCCCCCCCCACGACTGGCCTCTCCAACTCTGGTCTTTACATTTCTGGCCCCTCAACCGCTGGGCCATCCACTACTGACCCCTCCACCACTGACCCCCCCACCGCTGAACCCACCACTTCTGGCCATTCCACCCCTGACTACTCCACCACTGAATCCTCCAATGCTGGGCCCTTCACTGCTTACCCGTCTACCCCGGCCCCTCCACAACTAACCTCTCCACCACTGACCACTCCACTGCTGGCCCCTCCACCGTTGACCTGGAGTTCTGCATCAGGGCCAGACTAACGACCGAAAAACTGGAGAATGGCAGAACAGCAATCAGCCAGATGCGCCATTTCCTTGCATATACTCCTGTTAGGATATTTCCAATTTGACTGATCGCGTTGAAGCAGCGTCGGCAGAAGGCCGTGAGAGAAAAACAAGAAAATAGCACTCTCTAGATGAAACACAGAGGATAATCTCAGTTTAAGAAACACAGTTTTAACACTGGAAATGAGTATATTCACTGGTTTTGCTATTTGATAACCAAATATTTAAATATTACATAATAATCAAATTCCTAACAAGAAAACAATTCATACTGTTGTGAATACTTTGCTGTAAATGAAGCCACGCTCACAGGCTACAGTTATGTACATAGCCCTCATTTAAGGAGCTGGAGTGGAAGTAAAGCAACACTTCCTACAAAAACTTTAGGTGTGAACCAGAAACCAGGCTATAAATTCTCTTCTTTTGAAATTCTTTTTTCTTAGTATGAGTGATCAAGGAACAAATAACAATTTATTTTCACAAATATGAATATATATTTTCACTAAGTCAATCTATAGGCCACGAGGGCTGTATTCTGAGTTCTTACAGGAATTTGACTTTTTATCAAGTTTAATAACACTCTCAAATAAAGTAATAACTGTCAGAGGTTTTATATTTACTTTGACAAACCACAGGATCCACTCATCATTGCAATGACACTCTAGACTTTGCAAGAAATAACCAGATCTTACCTGACTGATTGGTTTGTGAATGTAAATGGTGAATCATCTTTTCTTACAAAAGTACAGTATGGTGTTCCACAAGGCTCTGATTTAGGACCCCTATTATTCACATTATATATGCTACCACTGGGTACCATCATCAGTAAACATGGCATCAATTTCCACTGCTACGCTGTTGGCATACAGTTGTATATATCAACCAAACCAGATGATAAACTTCAACTTAATAAGATTTAAAAGACATATAAGACTGGATATCGAGTAACTTCCTTCTACTCAGCTCAGATAAAACAGAGGTTCTTCTTCTTGGTCCAAAAGCTGCTAGAAACAAACTGTCTAATTTAATGCTTAAACTTAATAGCTTCTCAGTTGCATCAGGTACATCTGTAAAAACCCTTGGTGTCACGATTGATCTGGTTCTGCTTCTGTCAGTGTTCACACTGACATATCTAACACCAATTTAGGGCCTGCTGACAGTGTGCATTAACAGGCGTTTTTAGTGATCGTGGCATGCTTTTTACGCAGGAAAAGTCCAAGCAGGTCATCTGTTCACACTTTGGTGACCAGATTTCTTACATTGAAACCTGGGGACGTTTCCAGTTCAGTGGTCAATATATCATTAAAATATCCAGTTTTTTATCTATGAAATAAATTTTAGGTATCCAATTTTAGGTATTTTGACCATGATAACTGCTGTACTGTAATAACCTATGATGAAAACTGACTGATAAAACTGGGTACTAAATAACTTTGTAAACCATGTCAGAAAATCATACAGTGGCTACCATGGAGACTAAAGCTACACTTTAGAACACTCAGTAAAGAAAATGGTCAGCATGCATGGGAATAAATTACAATAGTCCTATAAAAGATTTACATTTCTTGCTTTCCTCCTCATAAGATTTGTCACTCGTTGCTTTTTTAGAAATAAATTCACTCAGTAAAAAGGGCCCCAGAAGTCACTAAGTCTAGCGGCTCAAGCAGGGATGAGGCAGAGATACACTCACCACAGTAGTTTCAGTAGCTGTATAAGCCCATAATTCATATTCATATTCATATTCATATTAAATAGTCTGGCAGTAAAAAGAGACCTTTGGCTACATAATAAAGACCACTGGCTGTAGCCCATATTCAGACCCTAATCACACCCCTGGGCAGCTCCAGTTCTGGATATAAAGACGCTGCTATCATGTCATATATGGAGACTGAAAAAGTGATGCAGTTTAAAAAATGATGCACTATTTGTAGATCACACACTATCTTAACATCCTAGCAATGACCGAAGTTCATTACTGTATGCAGGTTTTGTTTGGTTTGGTTTTGTTCTATATGAGAAGACATCTGCATTATATTTAAGCAACAAAACATAGTTGCAAAATGCTGAAGATGATAGGTTGTGATGGTAGTTGGAAGACAGCTGGTTGTTATGAAGGTAGTTGGTGTGAAGGTAGAAGAAAGATGATTGGTTGTCGTGAAGGTAAGAGAAAGTTGACTGGTCGTTATGAAGGTAGAAGGAAGATGACTGGTTGCTGCTTGTGGAGCTGCAGGCAAACAGCCCACCGGCAAAAATGCAGTAAAGCAAACCAATATGAAAGAACTAGGTCACTCACATGTTCAATCTCAGCACCGACCGAGCAGAGAAAAGACCAGCTGAAGCCCTCAGATTACTCTCTTTATACTTTATAGAATTATCCGTTTGGTTATATATGTCTATGAATACATAAACACATACTGTATATACATGCATGTCTGTGAAACAAATCCTTCACATGAACAGCAGACCTACTTTACAGTGTAGGCACCGTGTCTGTAAATGTATAATGTATTAAAGGTTCTTTACCAGTTTATGGGCTCTTTCAAGATCGTTTACATTATATGGGGATTCTTTAAACTTAACAGGTTCTTCACAAAAGTAATAGAACCGTCCATTAAAATGTGTTGGGAATCAAAAACGGTTCTTCTATGGCATCATGCAAAGAACCCTTTGTGGCACTTTTATTTTGAAGAGTGTAAATCAGTGCAAACAGTCAGGCTCCGCCTACCTCTGGCAGAGAGCTTCTTGGTGTTGATGATTTTGGCAGCATATTCTTGACCGGAGGAAATCTTCACACACCGCCGGACCACCGAGAATGCCCCCCTGAGAGAGAGATAGAGAGAGAGAGATAAACAAGTGCAAAGAGAAAACAGAGTGATGACGATACAGCATATGGCACCAAACTGCTGATACACAAGTGCAGGCCTAACTGAGTGTGTGTGTGTGTGTATGCGTGCTCCATCTGTGCTCATGGCTCTGTTCTGATTGGACGAAAACAGGGTTAATGAAGTCACCTCACATTCTCCTTCATCCTTACTTTGCTCCTTCAGTCCTGTGTCTGAGAGTATTTCCATAGAGTACCAGCCACAATGTTGCTGGTAACCCAGAAATTATACAATCATACAGTGCCCTATCTGTTTACTGCAAAACATTTATGCTGAATTTCAGATGATAGGGTGTGATTACACAACAGTGTACAGTCTAAGTATGTGGTGTATAATGTAAAAATGTAGTCCACAGAGTAGGAATGCAGTGTATTGTGTAAAAATATAGTCAATAGTGCAAAAACGCAGTGCATAGTGTAAAATGTAGTCCATCATGTAAGAATACAGTGTACAAAAAAGTCTGTAGTCTAGAAATTTAGTCCACAGTACAAGAATGCAGTGTATAGTGTAACAATATAGTGCACAGTGCAAGAATGCAGTGTATAGTGTAAACCTATAGTCCATAGCGCAAGAATGCAGTGTATGGTGTAATGTGTATTGTACAGACATAGTCAATAATGGAACAGTGTAGTCCATAGAGTAAAAATATAATCCACAGTACAGTGTGCAGTGTATAGCATAAAAATATGATGCATACTGTAAGAATGCAGTGTATTGTGTAAAAACATAGTCCACAGTGTGAGAAGGCAGTGTATAGTGTAAAAACATAGTCCACAGTGTAAGAAGGCAGTGTATAGTGTAAAAACACAGTCCATAGTTTAAGACGGCAGTGTATAGTGTAAAAACATAGTCCACAGTGTAAGACGGCAGTGTATAGTGTAAAAACATAGTCCACAGTGTAAGAAAGCAGTGTATAGTGTAAAAACATAGTCCACAGTGTGAGAAGGCAGTGTATAGTGTAAAAACATAGTCCATAGTGTAAGAAGGCAGTGTATAGGGCAAAAACATAGTCCACAGTGTAAGATGGCAGTGTAAAGTGTAAAAACACAGTCCACAGTGTAAGATGGCAGTGTATAGTGTAAAAACACAGTCCACAGTGTAAGATGGCAGTGTATAGTGTAAAAACATAGTCCACAGTGTAAGACGGCAGTGTATAGTGTAAAAACATAGTCCACAGTGTAAGATGGCAGTGTATAGCATAAAAACATTGTCCATAGTGTAAGACGGCAGTGTATAGTGTAAAAATATAGTCCACAATACAAAAAGGCAGTGTATAGTGTAGTATATAGTATAAAAATATAATGCATAGAGTGAGAATGCAATGTATAGTGTGGTGTGTAGTGTAACAACAGAATCCATACTATAAGAGTACAGTCCATAGAGTCTAGTGTATACTATAAAGATATAATGCATAGTGTATAGTGTAAAAACATAGTCTATAATGCTAGAATGCAGTGCATGGTGTACAAATATAATGCAAAGTGCAGTGTAAAGTGGAAGAAAATAGTAGTGCAGTGTATTGCGTAGAAATATAGAACAAAGTGCAAGTGTGTAGTGCAATGTGTAAAAATATAGTCAATAGTGCAAGAACGCAGTGTACAGTCAAAAATATAATCCATATTGCACAAATGTAGTGTATAGTGTTAAATATAGTCCACAATGCAAGAATGCTGTGTTTGTTGTTGTGTGTAGTGTACAAATACAGTCTACAGTGTCAAGATATAGTCTATAGTGTAAAACTGCAGTGTATAGTGTAAATTATAGTACAAAGTGCAAGAATGCAGTGTACGCTGCAAAAACACAGTCCATAGTGCAAAAAAGCAGTGTAGGGTGTAAAAATACAGTCCGTAGTGCAAGAATGTAAAATAAAGCCAATAGTTTGAAAATATACTCTATAGTGCAATAATTCTCTGTATAGTGTAAAAATATAGTCCATAGTGCAAGAAGGCAGTTTATAGTGTAAAAATATAGTGCATGTTGTAAAAACGTAGTGTAAGAATATAGTCTGTTGTGGAACGAAGTGTAAGGATATGATCCATAGTGTGTAAATACAGTGTAAAGAGTAAGAACATAATGTAAGAACACAGTCCATATTAGTAGCATACAGTGTAACAATATAGTGTAAGAATACAGTACATAGTTTTAGAATGGAGTCCATAGTACAAGAATATAGTACGCATTGTAAGAATGTTGTGTAGTTAGTATATAGTGACATAGTCCATAGTGTAGAAATATAGTAAGTGCAGTAATATAGTCCACAATGTAAACCTGTATGATATAGTCTAAGATTATAGTGTATAGCGCAAGAATATAGTACACAGGGTAAAAATACAGAGCATCTTGCAAAAATGTAGTGTATAGTTAAGAATAAAGTCCACAGTGTAAGACTACTGAGTAAGAATGCAGACTAGTGCAAGAATGTAGTGTATAGTGTAAGAATGTAGTGTATAGTGTAAGAACATGGTCTATAATGTGAGAACATAGTCTATAGTGTAAGAATATAGTGTATAGTCTAAGAATGTAGTGTATAGTCTGCGAATGTAGTCTACAGTATAAGAAAGTAGTGTATAGTGTAAGAATGTAGTCTATATTGTAAGAATGTAGTGTATAGTATAAAAACGTAGTCTATAGTGTAACAAGGTAGTCTATTGGGTAAGAATGTAGTGTATAGTCTACGAATGTTATGTACAGTGGAAGCATTTAGTGTACAGTTTAAGAATGTAGTCTTTAGTGTAAGAACGTAGTCTATAGTGTAAGAATGTAGTGTATAGTCTACGAATGCTGTGTACAGTGAAAGAATGTAGTGTACAGTTTAAGAATGTAGTCTTTAGTGTAAGAACGTAGTGTATAGTGTAAGAATGTAATGTTTAGTCTAAGAACACAGTGTATGGTGTAAGAATGTAGTCTATAGTGTAAGAATGTATAGTGTAAGAATGTGGTGTATAGTCTAAGAACGTACTGTACAGTGTAAGAACACAGTGTATAGTATAATAATGTAGTGTATAGTCTAAGAATGTAGTGTACAGGGTAAGAATGTAGTGTATAAGGTAAGAAAGTAGTATATAGTGTAAAAATGTAGTGTATAGAGTAAGAATGTAGGGTATAGTGTAAGAAAGTAGTATATAGTCTAAAAATGTAGTGTATAGTGTAAGACTGTAGTCTATGGTGTAAGACTATAGTGTATAGAGTAAGAATGTAGGCTATAGTGTAAGAAAGTAGTATATAGTCTAAAAATGTAGTGTATAGTGTAAGAAAGTAGTATATAGTCTAAAAATGTAGTGTATAGTGTAAGACTGTAGTCTATAAGTCTGTAGTGTACAGTGTAAGAACTTCGTGTATGGTGTAAAAAAGGAAGTAGACAGCAGCAGCATCACATTCACTGCAAATGCATGAACACACGGAGTCCCTGCTTTGACTGACAGGAGGAGGATAGAAGTGATGGTGCTGATGGTGATTATGGTGATGATGATGAAGGTGATGATGATGGTGCTGATGGTGCTGATGGTGATTATGGTGATGATGATGATGATGGTGATAGTGCTGATGGTGATTATGGTGACGGTGATGATGGTGGTTATGATGATGGTGATGGTGGTAATAGTGATTATTGTAATGATGGCGATGGTAATGGTGATGATGGTGATTGTGATGATAATGGTGATGATAGTGACAGTGATGATGATGATGATGGCGGTGTTGGTGGTGATGGTGGTAATAGTGATTATTGTAATGATGGTAATGGTAATGGTGATGATGGTGATGATGATGGTGGTTATGATGATGGTGATGGTAATAGTGATTATTGTAATGATGGTGATGATGGTGATTGTGATGATAGTGTCAGTGATGATGATGATGGTATTGATGGTGATGGTGATGAAGAAGATGATGATGGTGATGTTGATGATGCTGTCGCATTGCTGAACGCTTCAGCCCTCCTTTACCCTCCATCACACGCGCGCGCCCCCCTACACGGTTTACGCTGTACAGCGCGTGCAAACAACCTCCGGGCCCCCGCCAAAAGCCCACTGCCCACCCCAACACCCACCCGCCCCCCACCCCCGCCCCCGCCAAATCTCCCCCACAGACCCTAACAGCAGTGCCTCGCGCTCTCCTCTGCTGCATTGTGCGCTGCTGCGTCCTGCAAACCTCAATTCCGCAGCCCAGACGCCCCCCCTCGCGCGCGCTCACACGGCAAACACAGCCAACAGGCGCGTGCTCGCTCAACATGCGACGCTAAATAACAGCAATAATAATCATAATAATAATAACGATGATGATGATGATTCACTCACTTGCCGAGCTCCTCGAACAGCTGGTACTCATCCGTGAATCTCGTGCAGATGGTGAGCGCCATGGCGCAGGAGCGCGTGCACGAGCAGAGCAGAGAAAGAGAGAGAGAAAGAGAGACAGAGAGAGAGAGGCAGAGAGAGAGAGAGAGAGAGAGGAAGGCGCGCCCGCGCGCTGCGGTTCACGCTCCGATAGCTACCGCTCAGGTGTCTTCTGGCAAAAGACCCGCGAGGAGAGAGCGCGCTCACGTGCAAGCCCGTCCGTGCGCGCGCTCACGGTGCCATCACGCGCTGCCGCTCTTGCTTGTACTGCTGAGTACAAACAGCCTCGCGCCGCTTTGACGACACCTCGCAGGCCCGCCCCCTTCCACCCGCGCGCCTCACTCAGCCCCGCCCTCCCAGCGCACAGCTCGCCACGTGACCTGCTTTCGTCAACAGAATAAGAAATGAAGCGTAATCGTAATTATTATTACTGAAATATGAGAACAATTGACCGATGCTTACGTCATCACCACACAAAATCAACAAAGACGCTGCAGCTGTAATATGCAAACAGCCAATGGGAGGAGACAGAGGAAACCTATTTGCATGGTGCGTCATTGCCCCCAGCACAGTCAGTAAAACCTGGTTATTAATGTCACTGCATAAATATGCATACATTAAAGCGCAGAGAGATGATCATAAAGTATAATGGAGTTTTATGTTATTGTAATATTGTATTGCTGTACTGCCTCAGGAGGTGTGGCCAGGCCAGGCCTCTTAAAGAGGGACACTTCATGTGTTCATGTTGTCTGTCTGTTAAAGGTGTGTGTTTGTGTTGCTCTGTGTTGAAGGTGGAATTAGCTCGTGTGGGTTGGGGGTCACTGTGAGAGTGAAGTGTGTGGCCAGTGGTGACCTCCTCCAGGAGTCCGGTGTTGTGTATGGGCCTTTCTGCTGGCGTTTAATAAAGAGTGCTTCTTGTAATGGAATCATGGCCTCCACTGTACCTTATTTTACTGTACACTGCATTATTATTTATTTTAGTTTGCATTTGAACAATTTATTACCATCTGATATATATGGGCAATATGACAATATACATCGGTATCATGGTAAATTATGTCAAGACACAATACAATCTGCTTTTCTGAGCATATTGTGTATATTGTTAGTACTTGTAGACACTGACCAACTGCCAGTTTCATCATAAAGAGAGCAAAATGAGTCCATATTGCATGAATTATTACATAAACAGGGTAAAAATGTTTTAATGTGTTAAATTGCTAAAATAATGGAAGTATTTTGGGAAAAAAGCATTTAAAGTGGGGTAGTTGGTACATTGTTGCCAAATGGCAACAGTGTGGAATCCTGGAAAGTACCATAAAATCTATTTATTCTCTAAAAACATCAGTCAATTAAAAACAAGACTAAACAAATCCAGCTCACACTTAGTAAAACATGAAACCCAAAATTTACACGGTTAAATTAATATAATTTCAATGTTCATTTGGAATGTATGGCAATAATAAAATCATAACAAGATACATGAACTACATACACCCATAATAAGACATGGGCACATCAATTTCCTGATCAAAACTGTTTATTTCCTATTTAATTTCATTTAAAAATTCTCATTCAGTATTATTCATTTCTTGCAGTGATCTTTAACACGCTTTTATTGATTAGAAATGTACACAAAAGTGGACCAACGTATCATTTGGATGGGATATCACAAAACTATGATTTCCAGTGGTGTAATTTATAATCTAGATAATACATTACAGTTACAAAATCTCTGAAATTACAAAATAGAATTAGAAATAATGTTTTTTTTTCCCTTTTAAATGTAATCAAAAATTGTAAACATAGTCTCAGAGTAGCCTAGTGCTGTGTAATTCAATTACAGTCCAATAGGATGAATACACACAGATAGTTTCCATGTTTGCATTTAGTTGCCATATGGCAACAAATTCCTTTTACCAAGTTATAAAAAACTTATCACATCTGTATGGATTTTATTGATTAAAATTAAAAGATTACTTACCCCAGATAGTATTTACATTTTTTCCCAAAGGAGCCTTGCCTAAATACTGAACAACTGGTCAATTTTGGGAGCCCTCAGGTCATAACCTTTTCAGGGTCAAGTGTCAATGGAAAAAAGGAGTTTAAACAGGATTTCTGGTCATGTGATGTCATCCAGTATTTGACCTTTCAAAGTAAAAGACCCTTTTGTCACAAATAAACAGTAAAACATGGATTATATATTACTGCTTTTTAGTAAAATTGAGATAAAGAAATTGTTGCCACATGGCAACACCAGGCAATAGAGAGTTAACTAGATTTAGTGCAACACAGTATGCAAAATACTGAATTAAAATTGTGTTTACAGTTTTTCATAGTATTTCTTTTAATTGTAGCACTACTGATATTTTTACTCTGCTCCAACTGATCAGATGTCTGAAAAAATGAACATCTTGACATCTTGTGTGTCTTGAAGTGTCACAATATTATATTTTTGCTATATAGTTAACTGTACAGTTTATCAGTCAGACTGTAGAGTGTGAAATAGTTAACTGTACAGTGTATCAGTCAGACCGTAGTGTTTGAAATAGTGAACTGTTCAGTGCATAATTTTCAAATAGTGAACTGTACAGCATATCAGTCGGACTGTAATGCTTGAAATAGTGAACCGTGCAATGTACCAGTCATACAGCAATGTCTGAAATAGTGAACTGTATAGTGTATCAGTCAGGCTGTAGTGTTTCAAATAGTGAACTGTACAATGTATCAGTCAGGCTATAGTGTTTGAAATAGTGAACTATACCTTGTATTAATTGGACTGTAGTGTTTGAAATAGTGAACTGTACAGTGCATTATTTTCAAATAGTGAACTGTACAATGTATCATTCAGACTGTAGTGTTTGAAATAGTGAACTGTACAGTGTATCAGTCGGACTGTAGTGTTTGAAATACTGAACTGTGTAGGGTATCAACTGGACTGTCATTTTTAAAAAAGTGAACTGTACAGTGTATCATTCAGACTGTAGTGTTTGAAATGGTGAACTGTAGAGTGTATCAGTCAGACTGCAGTATTTAAACTCCCAGTGATAGATTTTGTAGAACTACTGACAGTGAGTCACTATAAATACCAATTAATGAATGAGTTGACAGGTTATGCTGTCTGAGAACATGTTGCATTATGAGATCAAATCAATTTAAATGAATTTGTTTTTGTTTATTGTTTATATACTGTATATAGAGACAAAACCTTGTGGCAACGTTTTTGTCATTCTTTGTATTTTTTAATAAAAAAAAATCTATTTACCCTAATTGTTCCATTCAATCCATATCTGTTTTGAAATCAAAGATCTGATAATTAAAAACATGTATTTTTCTCTTTTTTATTTTAACCCCTCAAAACAGTAACAAATTGTTTCATGGAAAACATGCACACATAGAGGTGACCAGCAGGGGGAGAAAGAGGATCAGATCAGAGAAAAAGGGGAACCAGAACTTACAGCTCAGAGATAAAGATGCTGCAATGCTGCATCATTAGAGCCATAAAAGGAGACAAAACGTTTAATGATAATATGACACATCTACATTTCTGCCAGACTGGCTCAATCAGGAATGCAGTGACCGCAGGTTAATAAGACGGCAGTGATGGATAATGAGGGAAATTTATTGAGTCCTCAGCAATCTCATTGTGTTTAACACACAGCAGGACAGATTAGATCACAACTCAGCACAATAGTGGATTATCTGGAATGTCATAGGTATTAAATCACCTCAAACACACATCGGAATATCAAAATCACAGTGAAACCACTTTGCAAATACAACTATGTCACAAATGTTACCATTTGTCACATACATATTTTTTTTTATCAACTTTTTATTGTGTTTTATATTACGTTTTACAACAAGGGTGGGGAAAGGTAAGGGGTAAGGGAAGGCAGGACAGTGGCATGCCTTTTTAAGAAAACACACAAATCAAAAATAAAACAAAAACAAAGACAAAATTCTTGAATAACGTCATACAAATTCTCCCAGTTTCTTACTGTTGACTGTTTTGCTTTGTTAAGCTGTGCTGTAAGATATTCCATCTGGACTATATTTGAAAAGTAGGTATCCAGAATTTCATAGCTGAAAGCTGTGGGAAAATCCAAAGTTGCAAGACTCTCAGTAGCTGTAAAACCCACCACCAGCATCGTCGCTGAATCGAAGAAAGCTGAAGAGCTGAGTCATTATTTACAAGACCCAGATGTGGTGGCAGTGGATCACTCAGATGAAGTACTTTAAATAATATATCCATTGTAGAGGTCCATATATCTGCTATCTATTCATGGCGGAGGGGTACATGCAGGACATTGTAGGGCAAAATAGTCCCCCCTAAAACTCATTTTTTCAGATTTATGACTACTTTACCTTCATTAACATTACATATAAAAACTAAGCAGACGTTTAGGATTACTGGTGGTTTTGAATAGTAAATAAAATGGATGTATTTGTGTGCAGACATGGCCACCACTGTAAAGAAACCCGAGTCCCTTAACGAGTCAGAAATGTTTACAGTGGTGGTGATGGGAACCAGGCGTCCACCTCTAAAACCTCCCTTACAGAATTTTATATGCAATGAACCATTTCATGTCAATCCATGTGTTTACATTTCTAGAACCGAATTATTCCGAAAATTGGAAAAATCGTTGGAATTCCCCTGTAAATTAGCCCATATAGTGCTGCAACTCGTTCCCAGAGTTGTTCGACTGCCAACAGCGTTATATGATAGTCTACCAAAGTATTATAAATAAACAATACTCTTCCCCTAATAGGTTGTCCAAAGGCCTCATGTATAGTCACGTATTTTTGACATCTATCCTGACCATTGTTAGAAAGTTCTACTAAGTTCAATAGATCATTACATATGAAATTAAGCATGTATCATGTTTAAAGACCACTGATTAGCAGCCATGGCAAATGAAGGCCTTTTGATAAACATCGATTTATGTAAACAAGGCTCAAACTGTATCAGGCCTCTGTGGTCTAAACTGCAGAAGGCCTCATACTGCTGTTGTGTGCTTGGACCCGCTCATTGCCATTTTCTGGCCATAATTATAATTACTATTTTTATTATAGCTTTTATTAGGCCATTTTATAGCTGTAATGCAGCAGCAGCATGTCTGCCCTACTTGATAAAATAACGGTAGGCATTAGTGCTGTAGTTAGACAATAATGCAATCCACTCAGCTCTTCAGTATGAACACATCAAAGAGTGTCATTAATATATAGTTGGATTTTGTGGCTTATGTAAAT